CTGTATTCTTAGAATAAGAATAAAACAAACGTCAAGAACCTGGCTGGCATGGCTCAGTGATTGAGCATCGACCTATGAACGGTTCGATTCCTGGTCAGGGCACATGCTCGGGTTATGGCCTCAATCCCCAGTGGGGGGCGTGCAAGAGGCAGCCGATCAATGATTCTCTCATCATTGATGTTTCTATCTCTTTCTCTCCCTCTCCCTTCCTCTCTGAAATCAATATTAAAACAAAAAAAAAGTTCATAAAAGCTGACAAATACTACCCCAAATCCTAAAATCCAGAAAAAAATGACGTCCCTGGTCTAAAGCTTGTGGCTGGATGCCCACTGTGCCCAGGTCAGGCAGGGGTTGGTAAAAGAACCAGCACACATTCACCAGGCCCCTGAGATCCCCTCTGTATAGTGGAGGAAACTGAGTCTGGGGTGTGGGGAGCTCTTGGGGAAGGGGTGAAGGTGGACCCAAGAAGGGATGAGCTGCCTGCTCAACTCCATCCCAAAGGCTCACCAGGTGGCCCAGCCAGGAGGACCGACTGCTGGTGTCCTCCCCTCTCCCCTGCCACGGGCCCTGCTTGGGGGGGCCTCCCCCCAACCATGGAATGCAGGCATCAGCACTTCAGACTCCGGACTAACCGCCGCCCCCCCTTTCCCTTCCAGATGTGGGTGCAGCTGTATTTTTAGAACAGCCAACCACGAGGACATTCTTTCCTTCTAATTAAGATGACTCCAAGTCTCCTATCCGCAATCAGCCCCATTATTCAGTCCTCAGATATCAAAGGGTGGTCAGGAGGGGCTGCCTCAGCTGGTTGTAGGTTGGGTTTCTTTCTTTCTTTTGAACCATTAAGTTGGAAATGTGACCCAGAACTGGAGTAAATGCCAGCGCTGGGGTGGGGGGAAGGCAAAGCAGGATTCTGGGTGGAGCCTGCAGGAGCTGCTCCGGGGCCTTGCGCCCTGCACCCCGGCCTGGGCTGAGGATGCCCAACTAGGCTGTAGCCCACCCGAGGGTAGGTTCTGTCTGGGCATCAAGAGAGAGCCTGTGCCTACCCTCAGGATGCCCAGTGCTGGAGGGTCAACAGGGGGCTGTTGGCACAGTGCCCACAAGGTTATGATGTCCTCATTTTACAGGTGAGCAACTGGACGTCCTCAGAGAGAGGACGTCCCTGGTAGAACTGCAGGAGCCTCTTTGGTGCCAGCTGCAGCTCGGCTGCTGGGCTGGGTGGCAGCTCACAGCCCACTCTGGTGGCCTGATGCCCAAGGTCAGAGGCCTCCCAACCTCCAAGGCGCGCCTGGGGAGGATCCAGGTGTGGGGGCAGGCTGCCAGTCAAGTGGGAGGAACAAGGTGCAAGCAGGGCCTTTGAGCAGCTTGCCCATGGAGCCACAGCTGACAGATGAGGAAACCGAGGCTGAGAGAGGCAGAGGCAGCCCCCAGCAACTCAGCCTACTGGTGTCAGGTGCTAGGGACCCATTCTGTGGTAGGGCCTACCAGCCACTCACCCCAGCGATGGGCCGGCCGGCTGCGAGGCTGGGCCTGGAGGTGATGCCAGGGGCCTTGAGTCCAGCCTGAGCCTTGGATGCAGGAGGAAGGCACCTACCGAGACCGTGTCCCACCCCCCATGGAGCAGAGGCATGGTGGGTCTGGACGCCAGGCCTCCCAGCCTACCTGGGGCCTAACCGGCTGGCTGCGCTGGACAGAGGAAGTGCAATCGCCTGCGGCGGCTGGAGCGGGGCCACTTGAGCCCGGGGCTGCGGGGACAGCCCTCCACTGCGCTGGGCAGCGCTGGCCCTGGCCCCTTTGTTCCCCGGGGAGGCGGCGGCGGTCGGCGGTACAGACCCTTCAGCGCCTGGGCTTTGTCGCCCCCTCGTGGCCGGAGCCGGTCTCGGTGGCGTCTGATTAATTGCGGGGAAACTGAGGGGTGCGCGTGGGGGGTGGAGTCTGGGGGCACCGAATGGGACTCCCAAGGATCTGAAGACGCCCCTCTGGGACGCCCCTCGCTCGAGCCCGGGTCTCCAGGCCCGGGTAACAGCAGAGGCATTTTTAGGCCCCGGGTCGGGGAGGCGGGCCCCCACTTCTGCAGGTGTAGGGAGCAGAAGAGCCGGCCGGCCTGGGGGTGGGGGCACACTCGGTGAGAGTCAGCGCCAGCCGCTCGGAGGTATTATTTTTTAGGGTGAGCCCTGCCTCCTGAGTTCCAGGGGCAGATTCCTGCCGCTCCCGGGCCTCAGTTTCCCCATCTGCAGAGTGAGAGGCCCTCGAGTGCAGGAAGGAGCATGGGGGCGTGGCCTCTCACGACGAGGGAGGGATGTCAGCACCCAGGACTGGCCACAGGCCACGCAGTCCCTGAGCAGCTGGTGGCACGTCAGCCCTCCTCCCCCGACCCGCCCGGGGCTGGAAGAGGCAGTGGCGGTCCTTTCAACACGTCCCTGATTCCTGTGTGGCCTGGCAGCGGCCCGGGGGTCAGGCAGGCTGCGGCCCTCACCCGCCCTGTATGCGGCTGGATTTGGAAATCTGAGAAAGACCAGCTCCGACTCGCAGCAGGGGGGTTGCAGGCAGCTGGACGCGGGCACAGGCTTGACCTTGTGGAGTCTCATGCTTGACCTCTGCAAAGGAGGCTGAAGCCACCCACTTGTGGGTTGAAAGATTAACAGCACTGGGTCCACAAATACAGCCATGACTTCCAGATACTCAGGTTAATATTTGCCGAAGAGAAACCTCAAGCTTCCCAGCTTGAGGATAATTTAGGGAAAACCCGCCCACCAGGGGGACTGGGCCAGCAAGGTGCCCAGGTGGCATTTCAGGGAGAACCAAGGAGGACGGGAGGGCAGGCCTGGATGCCCATAGCAGTGATCCCGGGGCGGGGTGCATACAGGGTGGCAGGGTCCTGGACGCAGAATGTTAAACCCAGTTCTGAATTTGGCATTTATCGTCCCATGCACACCCTCTAGTTTTTACTACATGTGTATATATTCCCGCCCAATGTAAGACATAAGCGCGGCTTGGAATATTTCCAAATTAATATAAAGGCTTTATTGTCTAGGAACTTTTCTACATCTTTATTCACACGGCATTAGGGTCTACCTGTGTAAATACGGTTCCTCTACTTCATTTTTCTTCCCCAATGAGTGGCCTTCGAATGAATAGTAACAATTTCTTTCTCTATTTTCCTGAATATTGACATTTGGGTTGTTAACAGTTGTCTGACAGAAACAATGTTGCCTTTGTGAACAGAAGTTCTTGAGCTTGGGATTCAGAGTGTCTCTGAGGCAAACCGGGGAGTGGGGCTTCAATTTACCAGAGACGCCCAAAGTGCTCTCCAGTTACGGCACCAATTTATAGTTTCGTCCACCATACGAGCATTCCAGCTGCTTCTGCCCACCTTAGTAAATTACCAGAATCAAACTGCCAGCCCGTTGAGCGTGAAACAATCCACGGTTGTGTTTGCAATTTGCATTTCCGGATTGCTAATAACAAGTGAGCATCTTTTTATTCGTTGCTGCTGGTTGCCACTTCAGTTTCCTCTTCTGTCAATTCCCTGTTCACAGCCTTTGCCTGTTTTCTTTTTTTTATTGATATGTAGGAATTCTTTATGTATTTTGACGACAACTATTCTTCGTTGGTCGTGAGCTTGTGGACACCTCCTAGTTGGTGGCTTTTATCTCGCTCTCTTTTTTAAAAAGTTATTTTAGAGAGAAAGGGAGAGGGAGAGAGAGAATCATAGACACATTGACCAGGGGATCCAACTGAAACCTGGGTATGTGCCCTGGCCTGGAATTGAACCCTCGACTCTTCAGTGCACGGGATGAGGCTCCAACCAGCTGAGCCACACCAGCCAGGGCACCAGCTGGTAGCTTTTAGCTTCACCTTTTTATGGTGTCTTTTAACACATAGTTTTAATTTTTTTTTTTAAGTCCTCACCCGAAAATATTTTTTCCATTGATTCTCAGGGAGAGTAAAAGGGAGGGAGGCGAGGGGGAGAGGAAGGAAAGGGCGAGAGAGAAACATCGATTGGTTGCATCCTGCATGTGCCCTGACTGGGCCAGGGATGGAACCTGCAGCCGAGGTACCTGCCCTTGACCGGGAATCGAACCCGAGACCCTTTGGTCCTTGGGCCGATGCTCTAATCACTAAGCCAAACCAGCCAGGGCAATAGTTTAATTTTAATGATATTAAATCTTCATAAGGAATCCGTGTGGTTTGTCCTTATTCATCCTGAAGTTATAAAGGTATTCTTTATTTTCTTCTAAAATGTTTAAACTTTGCTTTTTTTCAGTAGATTTGTGTGTCCCTGGAATGATTTTTTTTTTTTTTTTTTTTGGTATGGGGTGAGGCAGAGATCCATTTTCATTCCCCCCAGCCATACACACACACAGATAATCAATTGTCCCACTACCCATTGTTAGCCCACTGTTTCTCCACTAATTTTTAAAAAATACATTTTTATTGATTTCAGAGAGAAAAGGAGAGAGAGAGAAAAAAAGAGAGAGAGAGAGAAACATCAATAATGAGAGAGAATCATTGATCAGCTGCCTCCTGCACTCCCTCCTGGGGATCAAGCCTGAAACTCGGGCATGTGACCTCCTGGTTCATAGGCTGACACTCAACCACTGAGCCAGACCAGCCAGGCTCTTCACTAATTTTTGAGAAAAAAACACACACAATAGTTGTTTTGGAAAAAAAGAAATAAATCTACCTAAATAAAATATTAGCAACTGAAACCAACGACGCCTTAACACATTATGAGCAAGTTGTGTTTAACCCCAAGAATTCAAGGATGGTTTCCCATTACAAACTCTACTGATGTCCCTGAGCTCATAAAGAAAATCCCCACGATAAAATATTAGCAACTTGCTAACTGCATGCTTTAAAAAATTCAGGGCAGCAAGAATCCAACAAACACGAGGCACGAGCCATAGAGACGCTGCGGGGTCCATTCGGGTGTGTGTCCAGGCTTTGCTCGGATGACTTCCTAAGGTTACTGTAACGCCTGCGTTCCCATGACCACGCACAGTATCTTTGGCAAGTCTGGCTTCGGCCTGGCGTCATTCCGTGCTGGGCCCGAGGAGGCCTGAGAAATGAAAGATTAATCCAGCCCGGCGAACCCTGTGGTCCCACACCTCGGAGCGCATCGGGACCGAGGCCCGATCGGCCTCTCACGTAATAAATCTCCTGGCGGCAACCGGAGACGGGTTCTCCGCATCCAGAGCCGCCAGCTCTGCCAGGACGGACTGATGACAGTGCTCCCGAGGCCGGTGGGTCTGCCTCCGTCCCTCCCTCCTAAGTCCTCCCTCCTCCGGGGAGAGGGGTGGACACCCTGAACTGGGTGAGCGTGGGGATGTCTGTTTGGAATCAAGGGCTGGGCCCTCAGAGGGTGGCCCGGGGGCAGGGTCTGCGGGGGAGAAGGGACTTAGGGGCGCCCGATCGGGATACAAGGGAGCCGGGCCGAGGGGCTGGGAGGGACGGGGGGAGGCGGAGGTTCGAGAGGCGGTGAGGCAGGAGCCTCCGCGGAGGCCGCGGCGGGGGAGGGGATTTCGGGCGAGTCTGCAGCGCGGTGACCTGAGCCCTCGGCTGCGACCAGCGGGGCCGGATGCAGGGGCTTGGCCGGGGTACCCTGGGCCAGAACCCCTCCCGGTCTGCAGAGGGGGGCCCAGGCTCGGCTGAGTAAGGAGGAGCGAGTGGCCTTTCAACCTCAGAGCGGCGCAAAGGGAGGGATGGAAGACGAACAGGAGCCACCCTTGCAGCCTCGGACGCAGGTGAACTGCCGGCGGGACGCCCCCTCCCCGTAACACTCGGGGGCCCCCGCGCGTGCACCGGGGCCGCGCGCTCCAGCCGAGGGCTGTGCTTTGCGCGAGCCTGCAACTCACCGGCCATTTCAGCACCCACTGCGCTTGCGCGTCCGCTTGGGCTCCGGCCACGATGTGCGCTTCTCCGGGCCCCACTGCGCATGCGCCTGGGCCCGGCTCCGCGGCGCTCGCGGCTTCCGGCTGGGACGGTGGCACAGCCCTGGCTCCACGCGCGTGCACTCCCGCCGCTCGCTTTCCTCGCGGGGCAAAGCCCACCCCGCAGGCCTCTCTGCTCCTGAATGCTGGAGAAATGTGCACGCGCCCGATGCCCTCCTGTGACCTGGGAAGGTCGACATTCCAAAACCCGCCTGGCCCTGGCCTTTCAGAGCAGGAATTGCAGCTCGGCGTGAACTGCACAGGCGTAGCCACGCTGCAAGGCTTAACGGAGACGTCAGATGTACAAAAACGGTCTCGTGCTTGCTTGTACAGTGGGGTTCGGTGTGTGGGCTCGGAAGAGCATGCAGGTGTTCATGCGCAGGTATGGCCTGGGGGCTAGTGCAGGGTTGCATGTGGTCACACATCTGCAGGACCTGCGGACCCCAGCCTCCCAGGCTAGCATCCCTCGGGATGCCTGCGCTGTCTTGTGTCCTCAGGCAGGCCAGACACGCCCCGATTCTGGCTACCTCAGCCCCTTCTTTGTGTGCCATCCTCACCTCTCTCCCCAACCTCCATCATCTCTTATAAAACCCTGTCTTGTCCTGCCTCACAGAGAGATTGGGGGCAGCCCACACCGCTCATCTCTGGGTTTCCCCCAACCTGCACTGATTTCCATGAGCTGTCTGCCTGGGGCTTCCCCTTATCTCCTTTAAGTCTATACAGACGTCACCTTCTCAGGGCATAACCTTGACCACCCTCTCCAAATACCCCCTCTCACCTTCTCTGCTTCCTGTCTCAGTCGCACCAGCTGACATACTATACACTTTCCTTGTTCATGTTGTTACTGCGTGTCTCCCACACTGGAAGAAAAGCTGCATGAGGTCACAGATTTTGTCTCTTTTGTTCATTGCTATGTCCCCAGCAGCTAGAGCAGTAGGTTTATGGTCCATAATAGGGAGGCAAGAAATATTTGTTCACTGAATTAATAATCACCATCATAGTTAGTGTCTGGTTGCTTTTCATGACCAGCCATGGCTCTAGGCCAAGCATGTCAAACTCAAAGGTTAACACGGGCCAAATAAACAAGGTTTAAGTTTATGTGGGCCGCAAAAAAACAAAAGCTTCAATTTTCATAGAAACGTAGGTTTATTTCGATAGAGACATGCTGAATACAGAGGGCTGAAATAAATGAGTCATTGTTAACATAAAATAATAGAACATTTTAATAAAAATTAATATTTTTTCTTGAACATTAACTTACCAGACACTGAATAACCGCACAAATTAATAAGCGTAACGCAAATAAACCTATTTTTCTTGTTCTCCGAAAGCGAAATATTTCCTGTTGCGAACACCAAACAAGTCAGTCCAAGACTAATGACGTGGCTATCGGCTGCTAGAATATTCGCTGCTAGTATTAGTGGAGAGAAATGGTGCGCCTGCGCGTAAGGTGCGTAAGCGAAACGAATGCAACACAAGCCAGCCAATAGCGCACATTGTAGTTCGTTATTAATAATTATGTCTAACAGGATATTGTAAAAATGAAGTTACGACATTTTTATTAAAACGTTGCTTACATACCGTTACATTGGCTGGGCCGCAAAAATATTCGTTGTGGGCCACATGCGGCCCAGGGCTGCGAGTTTGACATGCTAGTCTAGGCAGTCTCCACCAACAATCTCAGTGAACTAAACCATTTCCTGCTTCTTGGAGGCCTGCCAGCATCTCCTGCCTCAGGGGCTCACTTGTCATCATCAGGCATTGGGCCTCTTGCAGCCCGTCTGGGGCTGTGATGTGACTACAGTGAGACTAAACCCCTGGGTCCTCACCTGGCTTCCTCCCGTAGCTTCCAGCTTGGGAGGAAGTTATGTAGGCCTTATAGGAGCTGTGGGCAGCCAGGGTGCCTGTCATGGATCTGTCTGCAGACCTGTGGCAAGATCTCTGGCAGAATCCTGCCTTCTGGAGCTTCCCCCCACCCCCACCCCACACCCCGGAAAGTATCTCCCCAAATGGTGAATGCATGCTTGTGTCTTCCTGGCTGTACCTGTCCTCAGCACAGTGCCGGTATGGGACAGGCACTCGGAATTGCACTGATGAATGAATAAATAGTCCTCGGGGAATTCTTCAGAAACTCTGTAGCCGAATACCCTTCTGCCATGAAACTTCTACTTATTTAAAAAAATAATAATAAATTTGATTTGTAGCACTTTAAATTGGCAGGCGAATTTGCCAAAACAAGAAAGGCAGTCTGATTTACTGGGGAAAGATCAATGACTTGATTTCTATATCGTCAGCTACTTTGTGAATGCCTAGGAAGACAGCTGAGGGAAGTAGTTCACAGTTATACCTTTAGAGGAGTAGAGAGCTTTCAGCATACGCTGAGTTTTCAGAGCAGGAGATGGGTGGGGTCCTGCTCTCTGCCAGCCACATGACGTAGGTAACGCCTCCCCCTGTGCCTCGGTTTCCTGTCAGTGCCTGGTTCACACGCATCGCAGTGTTATAATTGGTAGGTCCTGGTCCTGGGAGGGCGGTGGAGGCTGTTACTACTCACTCTGTGTCCTCCCTTCTCTCCTTAGACTCAGGGCAGGGTCCTGCTCCAGACCGTCTGTGCAGCTGGCATTGGTGGAACTTTTCAGTTTGGCTATAACCTGTCCATCATCAATGCCCCAACCGTGGTATGTACCTTCTGTGCCTACGATCACCAGCTGAGTTGACGGTTGTCCCCTGTGGTGTTCAGGCCAGCATCCACTTGGCGGCACTTTCTCCCACACATCCGCCCCCACTGGGATGTCCCACAGGTACTTCAGGTTCAAATCCAGCTCTGCATCCTTCCCCTTCACCTGCACTCCTCCTGAATCCCCGATGACTCCGCCGTCTGCCCAGTGCCTTTACTCTGACACCAAGTCCTTCACTACCTCTAGCATCCAGCCGTTTCTCCCCATGCGTCTGCCAGGACCCTGGTTCAGGCCCCATCTCTCCTGTCTGGATTGCTGGCCCAGCCTCCTCACTGGCCTCCATACCTTCAGCTTCTCCCCTTCTAGATCCTCTCACGTCTGATCAAGCCCAGAACATTCTGTGTCTTCCTAGTGCCTATAGGAATGAGGACAGACGCATCCACCTGAAATCCAAGGCCTCCTGGGGTCAGAGCCGTTCATGGCTCCCGCCTTCATTCCCCAGCCCCAAGTCTTATACTGAGTTGCAGCTCCCTGAATGTGCACAGCCCTTCCTCGGACCCTCCTTTTGCTGAAAAGCCCTCTCTCTCCACCCACCCCCCAAAACCCCCTGCAGAAGCCCCTCAGGAACCACCCAGATGCCATCACCTTCCTGGTGCCTTCCCTCACCAGCCCCCAGTGGGACACCACCCCCCTTCCCCCACCCTCGGTGTGGCTGTCAGCACTCGGGCTGTGCTGGTTGTCTGGGCCCCTCTCCCTCCTGCTGGCTTGCTCAGTGTTGGGTCATCTGTGAATCCCCAGCAGCTGATGCTGGCCTGGCCCCTGTCCATGTTCATTCTGGGCCTGTGGAAAGGATGAGTCCGTGAGCCCCAGCGATAGAAGCCGCCTCTAACTTGCTTAAGGAAGAAGGGCAAGTGTCCTGTCACTTCGCTGGGAAAGATGTGCGGATATAAACCGTGTGTGTGGGGTGGGGGTGGGGGTGGAGAGCTGCAGGAACCAGGCCCTAGGAGGGAACTGGGGCTCTCCTGTCCCTGCCTGGCCTCATCCTCTACCCAGTGACAAGACAGCAGCTGTCACCAGACTCACTTTTTATTTTATTTTTTTTAATTTATTGATTTTTTACAGAGAGGAAGGGAGAGGGATAGAGTTAGAAACATCAGTGAGAGAGAAACATCGATCAGCTGCCTCCTGCACACTCCCTACTGGGGATGTGCCTGCAACCAAGGTACATGCCCTTGATCGGAATCAAACCTGGGACCCTTGAGTCCGCAGGCTGACGCTCTATCCACTGAGCCAAACCAGTTAGGGCTCACTTTTTAAATATATATATTTTTTATTGATTTCAGAGAGGAAGAGAGAGGGAGAGAAACATCAATGATGAGAGAGAATCATTAATTGGCTGCCTCATGCACTCCCCCTACTGGGGATCAAGCCTGCAATCCTGGCATGTGCCCTGATCGGGAATTGAACCCTGACCAGGAATCGAACCCTGACCTCCTAGTTCATAGGTCGATGCTCAACCATTGAGCTACATTGGCTGGGCCAGACTCACTTTTTATCAGCTGGGAATCCCCAAATAAAAGTCCTCCCTGGTAGCTCTCCACAGAGAGGCCTGGGAAGAGTGATTAACTGGCTTGGATCACATGCCCACCCCTAGACCAATCATGTGGTGAGGAGGGCAGAGCACTTCCATTGGCTATATCTGGGTCAGGTGACCACCAATCCTATATAATAAAAGAATAATATGCAAATAGACCACATGGCAGAACAACCAAACAACCAATCAAAGTGTAATATGCTAATAATATGCTAAGGCTGCTGAACCTCTCGCTATGACATGCACTGACCACCGGGGGCAGACGCTCCGACCAGTAGGTTAGCTTGCTGCTGGGGTCCAGCTGATCATCGGGACTGAGCGAGATGGGCCTGCACGCCCTGGAGCTCTCCCACGGTCCGTCCCTGGACCCATTGTGCACTGGTGGGGTCCCTCAGCCTGGCCTGTGTCCTCTCACAATCCAGGACCCCTCGGGGGATGTCGGAGAGCCAGTTTCAGCCCGATTCCGCAGGCCACGCCCCTTGAGAGGGTGCCAGACGCAGGGCTTGTGGCTGGTGAGCGCTGCTGAGGCAGTGGGAGCCTCTCTGGGACTGATTGGGCGCAAGCCCACGGCAGGCACAGTGGGGCCGGAATGAGCGGGAGCGGCAGGTAGGAGCTGCAGGCAGTATTGGATTGTGGGTTTCAGCCAATCCCTGCAGGCCACCCAGAGGGACCCCACCTGTGCACGATTTCATGCACTGGGCCTCTAGTAGGGGCTATAATTGACAATGGAAGAGAACTTCTCCAAAGGAGGAAGTGGGTAGCAGAAGCCCGGGTGGGAGTACATTCTGGGCAGAAACAATTCCGGCCGCCAGCCTCTTAGAGAAAGGAAGAACGGCTGGCTTGAGAAAGGGAGGTCTGAACCGGCTGCATTTGTTTATTTGCTCATTCAACAAGGATGTGAGTGCCCGCCAGGGCAGACTGACTTGTGGGGCACTCTCACGTCTTGTCTCCTGTGGGCTATCACTAGTCCCAGACGAGTACTTGCCGCAGTCGGGGTCCCAAGGAGACACGCAGCAGAAGTCAGTGGGTTTCGATACCACAAAGGACTTGAGCGGGGCGCTGAGAGCACACAGGCCAGAGGGGGTGCAGTCATAGCCGTGCAGACTCAGGAGCACAGGAGGGAGGCCATGTGGCCCAGACCCCCTTGAAAGTGACAGTGACCTTTGGCCTCCTGCTCTGTCTGTAGTTTCGTTCTCCCTGTGGGGAGGCCTAGCGTGTGTAGTCCCCCCCCGTCCCGGGGGAGGCTGACTGGCATCTCTGTTCACAGCACATTCAGGAATTCACCAATCAGACGTGGCAGGCAAGGACCGGCCAGCCACTGCCTGACCACCTGATCCTGATCATGTGGTCCCTCATCGTGTCTCTGTACCCCCTGGGGGGCCTCTTTGGAGCGCTGCTTGCAGGGCCCCTGGCCGTCATGCTGGGAAGGTAAGTGCTTGCTGTGTACCCCCAGTGACCTTTACTGAGGGTCACCCCAGTCTGCAGGCCGAGGAATGCCTGTAGCTTCACCATGAGAGTCACAGCTCAAGCGGATTTGGTGGAGGGAGGCGTCTGCTGTGCGAGAGGGAGGACTCCGGTGTCTAGTTCCACATCTGCCAACAAATGCTGTTTGTGAACAATAGCCTCATTTCCCCCTTTGGGCCTCATTTCCCCCTTTGTAACCAATCTTTTCTTTCTTTCTTTTGTTTTAAATATATTTTTATTGATTTCAGAGAGGAAGGAAGAGGGAGAGAGAAATAGGAACATCAATGATGAGAGAGAATCATTGATCGGCTGCCTCCTGTACACCTCACACTGGGGATCAAGCCCACAACTGAGACATGTGCCCTGACCAGGAATAGAACCGTGACCTCCTGGTTCATAGGTGGACACTCAACCACTGAGCCACACCAGCAGGGTTACCAGTCCCTTCCTTTTACAAGGGAGTTTGAGGAGAGGGGTGCTTATCTGAGGAAAAGCCATACGTATCCATCTGTCATTTCAAGCTGTGGGACAGGCAGGAAGGAGAATGGTTTGAAGTGCGTTGGGACATACCACGTGTGACCCAGGTACAATGGCTAGTGGTCATTCCCACCCAGTCGCTTAGAGTCCTTAGCACAGTTCACACACACACACACACACACACACGGGTCTGATTAGGGCTGGCTGGGGTTGCAAAGAGGGCTCCCCAGGGGCCGTCCCTCTGGACTGACCTGAGCCTCCCTTGCCTGTGCCCCACTCCCCCCAAGGAAGAAGTCGCTCCTGGTGAACAACGTCTTTGTGGTGGCCGCGGCGATCCTGTTTGGCTTCAGCCACAGAGCAGGCTCCTTCGAGATGATCATGCTGGGACGGCTGCTCATGGGAGTCAGTGCAGGTATGGGGGGCGGGGGAGGGCATCTCGCCTGCCCCTCCCTTCCTGCTCATTCTGTTATTCTCTTCGTTCCTTAATTTATTCTCTTTATCCGTTGATTTACTTTTCACTCATGCCTACCTTCATTTTGCAAAAATGATTAAGTATGGTTTATCTAAAAAGGCTCATCTAACTAGACATTGAAAGTGGATATAGGAAAATCAAAGAAGTTGTATAGGGATGTGAGGACAAACATTCCCAGACCTACACCAACAGGGGGCGTCCTGTGTTTGAGTAATGCGCTAAGTAGGCACGAGCTTCCTGGCAGCCAAGGTGTAAAGGCATCTAAGATGGGTTCTCTGATCTTCCAGACCAGTGGTTCTCAACCTTCCTAATGCCGCGGCCCTTTAATACAGTTCCTCATGTTGTGGTGACCCCCAATTTCATTGTTACAAATTGAACCTAATTAAAGCATAGTGATTAATCACAAAAACAATATGTAGCCCTAGCTGGTTTGGCTCAGTGGATAGAGGGTTGGCCTGCGGACTGAAGGGTCCCGGGTTCGATTCCGGCCAAGGGCACATGCCTGGGTTTTGGGCTCAATCCCCAGTAGGGGACCTGCTGGACGCAGCCAATCAATGATTCTCATCATTGATGTTTCTCTCTCTCTCCCCCTTCTCCCTTTCTCTCTGAAATCAATAACGAAATAGATTTTTAAAAAACAATATGTAATTATATATGTGTTTTCCGATGGTCTTAGGCAACCCGTGTGAAAGGGTTGCTCGACCCCCAAAGGGGTCTCGACCCACAGATTGAGAACCGCTGTTCCAGACAGAGGCAGATAGCCTGTTAGGGGCTCCTCAGTTTGGGGGGCCTGTCACGTGAGGGAGCAGAGTTTTGAGCACATCCATCTGGGCTTTTAGGGGTTCCCATCAGCAAATCCCCTCTTGACTCCCTGCTGTGTAAGCAGCCAGGTGTAAACGTCTCTATTAGGGATCTAGTCCAGTAAAACAAAGCATGTAAAAGTGTAGTGGCTTACAGCAGCCAACATTCATTGTCTGATGGCTCCTGTGGGTCGGGACCTGGGAGTGTCGTAGCTGTGGCTCTGGCTGGGTTCCCTTGAGGCTGAGATCACGCTGTCAGGCAGGGCTGCAGTCACTGAGGGTTTGACGAGGCTGGAGGACCTGCGTCCAGGATGCCTGTTGGCAGGGGGCCCCGTCCTCAGCCTGTGGGTCTCACACGCGGTGGCTGGTTTCCTCCAGCGTAAGTGATCAAAGAGAAAGGTGAGTGTGTGTGTGTGTGTGTGTGTGTGTGTGTGTGTGTGTGTGTCCGCTCAAGGAGGGGGTCCCAATTTTTTAAAAAATATATTTTATTGACTTCAGAGAGGACGGGAGAAGAAAGGAAACATCAATGATGAGAGAGAATCATTGATTGGCTGCCTCCTGCACGCCCCCTACTGGGGATGGAGCCTGCAGCCCCAGCATGTGCCCTGACCGAGAATAGAACCATGACCTTCATAGGTCGATGCTCAACCACTGAGTCCCGCCGGCTGGGCTGTTTTTTATGTCCTAATCTCAGAAGTCAGACACCGTTAGTTTTGCCACAGTCTCCTTGTGAGAAGTGAGTCACTAAGAACAGCCCACACTCCAGGGAAAAGGAACTGGGTCAGACTTTGTCTTTGTGCCCCGAGGACGAGGACCTAGCACAAAGGCTAGGTCCCCACCTGCTTGGAGGGAGAGCAGGGCACCTCTGAGGCTTTGGCCATTGACGCATCACCTTGTTCCCAGCTCCCTGCACCCAGAGAGACGCAGGCCCTTGATGAGACCCGGTTCCTGATCCCAGGCCAGGCAGGGAGGGGCCGGCACTCCCAGCAGGTGGATGATGCTCAAATACTGGCCTCCTAGCGTTTGGCAGCTGTTGCCGTCTGGGGTGGGCAGGGGGAGTGCTGTCTGGTTCTGTTCTCCCGCTGGTTGCCTGGGTGCCAGGTGTCTCTGGAGAAGTCAGGGTGAGGTGAGCACTGCAGAGTAGTGGTCAGTGACAGTGTCGCTGTGAGAGCCGGACAGCAGGTGGGCATTGGATGCTGCCCTTCCCTTCTCCCACCGCCCGCTCAGCTCCCTCGGAGCCCTTTACATTCAGCCCAGTGATGGGGTCTAGGGAGACCCGATGACCAGAGTGGGACTGTGGTGAGGGGACAGGATGGGGCTGATCTGAGAACGACTTCTATCTCAGCGGTCCTGGGTCAGGGGAGGGGGGGAACCTGGAGTCCTGCTGGCCCTGCAGCAGGTGGGGGGTGCTCTCAGCCTATGGGGTGAGGGAGCAGCTCTGTGCCAGGACCCAGTAGACAAGGTGCCAGGAGGTGGGGAGGCAGGCCTGGGCATTGCGGGGAGGGGGTCCAGGCTGTGGTCTGACTGTCTGCGTGCACACGGCCAGGTGTGAGCATGAGCATCCAGCCCATGTACCTGGGGGAGAGTGCCCCCAAGGAGTTCCGGGGAGCCGTGGCCATGACCTCAGCCATCTTCACTGCCCTGGGGATCGTGATGGGACAAGTGGTGGGACTCAGGTAAGTGCCCGCCATGTGCCAGTAAAAGCCCTTTGCCTAGACTCCTCCCCACCTATGACGTAGATGAAGGCATGGCTTCTTTGTATTGCGGTATTGAGACCTGTCCCCTTCCATCTGCCGGTGCACAAAACAGGTCTCAGTGAGCCACACTTCAGTGTGAATCACCCTTCTCATCCTCTCCAGATCAGGAAGCAGAAAGCAGGTCTTGACAGACAAGAGGGGGAAGGTTTGGGCTTTTGAGGGGAGCATGTCTCGGTCGTCCCAGAAAAGAGAGGAGAAGGCAAAGCCTAGAGCCCTGGAAAGGGAGTTGTCAGGGAGAAGGTGGGGCCACAGCCGTGCCTGGGCTGGCTCCTTACCTGGTGGGAGGGGTCTTGGTGTCCAGGCCCAGAGCTGGTTAGGAAGAAGCGCAGAGCCATGCAGACCCTCTGCCCTCAACAGGACAGGCAGGCAAGTTGGGGGGTGGGGGGAGCAGCTGGATAGGGGGCAGGGCTCTGGCATGGAGGTGTCTGGCTGGCCTCTCCTCTGCCTCTCCAGGGAGCTCCTGGGTGGCCGGCAGGCCTGGCCCCTGCTGCTGGCCAGCTGCCTGGTGCCCGGGGTGCTGCAGCTGGCCTCCCTGCCCCTGCTCCCCGAGAGCCCGCGCTACCTCCTCATTGACCGTGGAGACACTGAGGCCTGCCTGGCCGGTGAGTCCCGGACCGCAGGTCCCTAGGCCACTCTCGGCCAATGGGCGCCTCTGCCCAGAGCATGGGGGTCCCCTTTTCTCAGGGAAAGGTTGTCCCTCTCTCTGAAGGTCCGTCAATACCTTCAAAACCCCAGGGCGGTGCAGAGAAAGCTCCCACACACGTGCAGGATGAAATACCATGTGCGACTTCCCTGGCCCCAGGCCAGCGGGGTGCTGACGGTCTTACTCATTAGCTATGGCCACAGTCACGATGCCCCAGAACAATTCCCAAGTCTCTGGCTTAAAACAACAGTCACTTATCCCAACCAGGTGGTTGCAGCGTCGTCCCGTACACCAAAAAGGTTGCAGGTTCGTTTCAATTCTGGTCAGGGAGGCAACCAATCAATGCTTCTCTCTCTCTCTCTCTCTCTCTCTCTCTCTCTCTCTCTCTCTGTCCCCCTTCCCCCCCCCCCAAAACTTAATAAACATATCGTCGGGTAAGGATTGAAAACAACAACAATCATTTACTTTACTTTCCATTCATTTACTCATGGGCTGGCTGCACAGCTCTGCTGGTCTTAGCTGGGCTGGCTCTGCTGTCAGAGGCAGCTGAGGACTGGTCCGTCCAGGCTGGTCTGGGCTGGAGAGTTCAGCTCTGCTGCACATGTCTCTCTCTCTCTCTCTCTCCCTCCCTCTCTCTCTCTCTTTGAAAATGTGTTTATAGCCCTTGCGGTTTGGCTCAGTGTATAGAGTGTCAGCCTGAGGACTGAAGGGTCCTGGGTTCGATTCCTGTCAAGGGCACATGCCCGTTTGCCAGCTTGACCCCCAGTAGGGGGCGTGCAGGAGGCAGCCGATCGATGATTCTCTCTCATCATTGATGTTTCTATCTCTCTCTCCCTCTCCCTTCCTCTCTAAAATCAATAAAAATATATTTAAAAAAAAGAAAAAGAAAAAGAAAGAGGTTTGTTTTTTATTAAACTAACCTAGCAAGTTTGGATTAAGTTAAATCCAATTACAATTTGTTCCTTCTGAAGGTCTTTTTGTGCTCATGTCTTTTTTTTTTTTTTTCAATCTTCACCCAAGGATATTTTTCCATTGATTTTTTGAGAGAGTGGAAGAGAGAGGGAACGACAGAGAGAAATATCAATGTGAGAGAAACACATCTATTGGTTGCCTCCTGCATGAGCCCCGACCAGGGCCTGGGCCGGGAAGGAGTCTGCAACCGAGGTACGTGCTTGCATTTGTCCGGCCTCCTCACCATTCTCTGTCTGGTCTTGGAACCGATACCATAAGTCACAGGTCTTAGTTATGGCGGCACCCACTCCTTGTACCAATTCATTGATCGGTTTTCCATTTCTGCTTAATAATCGCTGTATCTCTGTGGCCAACAACAGAAGCAGCTGCATAGCTCACGCCTCTGTGAGTTCTCTGGGGTTGGCTGATGTAGGGCTGCGTCTGGCTGGTGGCTCTGCCCCTTCCGGTCACTCATGCAGGCCTACTGGGCATCGGCTGATCTGTGCGCTACCAGCTGGGCAATCTCTGCTCCTTCTGGCACCATCGGGCTAGCCTGGCGAGATTTTATAATGATGGCAAAATAGAAACGAGACAGGTCTGTGAAGGCGTGGCCGGAACAGGGGCCTGCCCTCCCCACAGACTCATCCAGTCGCTGTTTCGTTGGATGGATCCACTGAATCCTGAGGTTCTAACGTCCTTTCTGGTCCATGAGGCTGCGAACTGATAGGGCCAGGGAGATCTTCCCATCTGACCACCCGGGGCCCAGAGAAAAGCGGGGAGGGGAGTTGGGGATAGGAAGCTCATTGTGGGGGACCAAAGAGGCCAGGGAGAGAGCTCAGCACCCCCTCTCTGCCCCAGCGCTGCAGCGGCTGCGGGGCACTGAGGACTTGGCGGCGGAGCTGGCGGAGCTGGAGGAGGAGCGGGTGGCCTGTCAGGGCCTGCGGGCCTGGCGCCCCTGGGAGCTGTTCCAGGACCGCACCCTGCGGAGGCAGGTGGTGAGCCTGGTGGTGCTGGGCAGCGCCATGGAGCTCTGCGGGAATGACTCGGTGAGATTCCCCGCCCCTGCCCCTCCCTCTGGACTGCGTGCTGCAGGCCCCTGGGAGCCACGGGAGGCTGCAGGGAGCCCGTGCCCCAGAGCCGGCCCTGTGCCCGCCTCCCCAGATGTACGCCTACGCTTCCTCCGTGTTCCGGGAGGCGGGGGTCCCCCCGGAGAAGGTCCAGTATGCCATCATCGGGACCGGGTGCTGCGAGCTGCTCACAGCGTGTATCAGTGTGAGTCTGGCTCTGGGCTGGCCTCCCCCAGCCCCTGGAAGAGGGGGGATCTGGGGTGCTGACACCCTGAGGGCTTCAGGCCTCTTCTTTCAGCCGTTTCCCACTCCAGGTCACTGTTAAAATACGGGGAGTTCGCCAGCGTTTATTGAGCACCTACTATTTGCTGGGCACTCGTACCGTGATTTTGAGATGAGGGAACTCACTGAAGTTGGGTGGCCTGCGGGAAATTAATTTCTTAATCAACTGCAGCAATAAGCTGCTCCCTCCCCCACCGTCCGCTTCCTCATGAGGCCCCGCCCCATTGCTCACCCCAAACCAAGGGGACCGTGGCCCAGGGTCCCAGGCCAGCTGCTGAGGGCCCCTTTCCTTTGCAGTGTATGGTCATTGAGAGGGTAGGCCGGCGGGTGTTGCTGATTGGGGGGTACTGCCTGATGACCTGCTGGGGGAGCATCTTCACAGCGGCCCTGTGCCTGCAGGTAGCCGGCGGGGATGAGGAGGGTGGCGGGGTGCCGGCTGACCCCCACCTCACCCCAGCCCTCTGCTGCAGAGTTCCTTCCCCTGGATGCCCTACCTGGCCATGTCCTGCATCTTTGCCTTCATCCTCAGCTTTGGCATTGGCCCCGGTGAGTGGGCTCAGGGGCTCTGGGCTGTGGGACTTGCCGAAGGAACCTGGGCACCTGGGTGAGAGACGGGTGGAGGTGAATGCAATGTCACCTGCGTGCCCCACCCCCACCCGTCCCGAAGCTTCCGGAAGAACACCGAGGGGTCCCCCACTGCCATCTCTGGGGACTTTCCCTGGCTGGCAGGCCCCTGTCCCTCCCCTCCTTTCAGCTGGAGTGACAGGGATCCTGGCCACGGAGCTGTTTGACCAGATGGCCCGGCCTGCCGCCTACATGGTCTGCGGGGCGCTCATGTGGATCATGCTCTTCCTGGTTGGGCTGGGGTTCCCCTTCATCATGGTAGGCCTGCCCCTCCCCCAGGGGGAGCTGCCTTAGGTGTGGTCCCTGTCCGTATGAGAACCCCAGTGGGAGGCCACCACCCGAGGAGACTCAGACTAAAGGGGATGGGGCTCATCTAAGCATAGAAAGACAGGTCCCTCTCGCAGACCTGTCATGGGGCCTTCCATCCTGGGGCCGAATAGAGCCGCACTGGGTCTCAGGGTCTCTTTTAACCTATAGGAGGGATTGTCCTACTTCCTCTATGTGCCTTTCCTCGTTGTCTGTGTCTGTGGGGCCATCTACACGGGCTTCTTCCTTCCTGAGACCAAAGGCAAGACCTTCCTGGAGATCTCCGAAGAATTGCACAGACTCAACTTCCCCGAGCGGAGGCAGGGCCCCCCGTGGAGGGGCCCCAAGGTCATCCAGTCCACAGAGCTGTAGCCCCACAGCGGTGGCTGGGGCTGACATAGCTTCCGCTCGTCCCTTTGCTTCCTCTCCATTTACTAGCTCCTGTGTTTGTTCACTTAATGAGTGCTTATTATATGAGCACCTACTGTGTGCAGGAATGGTGCCAGGTGCCTAGCAATAGTGGTGAGCCAGAGAGATGGGATCCTGGGCCTCTTGGTGTTCCCCACCTAGAGGCCGTTAACGAACAGGAAACCCATAAAAACATAACTACAAACTCAGGGAAATGCAGTGGAAGAAAAATACAGGTTGTGAAAGGCGTGCACACCCCGGGGGTGGAGGTGCAGGTGGGGCTGACCTAGTTTGAGGGGCATGCATGGTCAGAAAAGGATTTTCTGAAGAATTGATTTTTTAAAAATGAACTTTATTGTCTCTGGCTGGAAGCTCAGTTGGTTCAAGTGTCGTCCTGATAGGCCAAAGTTGTGGGTTCAATCCCCGGTCAGGGCACATACAAGAATCAACCAATGAATGCATAAATAAGTGGAACAACAAATGGATGTTTCTCTTTCTCTAAAAATCAATAAAAAATAAAATTAAAATCAACTTTATTGAGGTATAATTTGCGTAGAATAAAATGTATCCGCAGTGAGTATACATGTGATGAGTTTTGACAGATTTATCCACCCATGAAACTACCAAACACTGCGACAAGGTAGAACATTCACATCACCCCCAAATCTCCCTTTGCAATCAATAGCCCACCCCTTCCCAGCCCCAAGCAACCACTGACCTGTTTTCTGTCACTACAGCCCAGATTGGCCTCTTATATATCGAATTTGACATAAATCCATGCTGTATGTATGCATTTGTGCCTGGCTCTGCTCCCGATAAAGTTTTAAAAATTCATGCAGGTTGTTGCATGTATTAATATATACTCCTTTGTATTTCTGAGTAATATTCCACTGTATGGATAGGACACAATTTGCTTATCCATTTACCTGCTGGTGGACATTTGAGCTGTTTCTGATTCTTGGCCATCATGAATAAAACTGCTGTGAACATTCCTGCACAGGCTGTTGTGTAGACAATGTTTTCATTTCTTGTGGGCAAATAAATTGCTGAGTCTAATAATGAAGGCTGCCCGGCCAGAGTGACTCAGTAGGTTGACTGCTGTCCTGTGCACTGAAAGGTTGCTGGTTCGATTCCCAGTCAGGGGCACATACCTGGGTTTCAGGTTCAATTACTGGTTGGGGCACATACAAAAGGCAACCGATCGACGTTCTCTCTCTCTCACTGCCCCCCCCCCCGCCCCCCCTCCCGCCTTCCTTCCTCTTTATAAGCATGTCCTTGGGTGAGGATTAAGACACCCACACACACAATAATGAAGGTATGTTTAGCTGTAGGAAAAACGTTTTCAAAGTGATTATACTGTTTGACATTCCCACTAGCAACGTGTGAGAATTCCAAATCCTTATCCGTACTTGGTACTGGCAATCGTTTTAATTCAGTCATTCCAGTGAATGCACAACGGTGTCTCATGGTGGTTCAATTGAGGTATTTCCCTGATGACTCACAATGTGGAGCATCTTTTCATCTGCTCAGTATGGCCACTCATCCATCTTCCCTTGTGAAGAATCTGTTCAAATATTTTGTCTATTATGTTTTTTTTAAGATTTCATTTTTTAGAGCAGTTTTAAGTTCACAGCAAATTTGAAAGGTACAGAGATTTCCCATATGCCTCCTACAAGCCCCCTCCCCCGCAACAGCGCCTCCCCCATTATCAACATCTCCCAGCAGAGTGGGACATTTGTTACAATCAATGAACCTACATATCGCTGTCACCCAAAGTCTATAGTGCACATCAGGGTTCATGTTTGGGGTTGTACAGTCTACAGGTTTGGGTCTGGCCCAGTCTCTCCTGCCTCCCCAGGTGGCTTCTGGGTGGCCCATAGGCCTGGCCCCGATTTCTGGCCGACGGCCTGTGCCCCAGCGGGCCTCTGACCTCTCTGCTCTTCTTCCTCAAGAGCCTAGGAGACCTCCTCATTGTCGGTGGAGACCCCAGGGCTTGCCTGACGACACCTTCAGGTACAGCCGGGCGGGGGTCACCAGCGGGGGTGAGGACCCCCCAGGTCTTCTTCCACTCTGACTAGAGGGGGTGGGGAATTTTTGCGTGTCATTGTTGAGACTTTTACCACATTCAGTGAAAAGGACACAGGGACTGGGGCCAGGGGCCAGGGGCCAAGGGCTGCTGGGTTGTTTTGGCAGGAAGGAATGATGTAGTATTAAGTCTCTGGAAATTTTCCTCAGATTCACTTTTCTATCACATTTTTATTTCAATTCACAATTCCTTGTACTATAGACATAAGGATGGAAAAGTTACAACATATTCTGACCGGATCCGGGTTCCCAGGAGTCACAGGTCAATACAAATGATTTTGGGCCATCACCTCTTTTTGCCAGGCCCTCAAATGGTCATTTCTAATAGATGGGAGAAAATAAATCCTCAAAACCAATCCCCTATTGCTGAACGAAAGACCGGTGGCTCCTTGCACATACCCTTTGGTACAAAGTTATTTCTCAGAGCTTATTAGATAACGTGCCCTCAGAACTCCAAGATGAAGAGACATGCATGACATCAGTGTGTTCAGCTTGAACCTGGGTTTCAGATTAGAAAGGAAACTTGCCCAAACTGCCTTATCATCAGTAAGTTTGTTTGTTCTTAAATATTTTTTAATTGATTTTTTAGAGAGGAAGGGAGGGAGAAAGAGAAACATCGATCACCCGGGGCATGTGGCCTGACCAGGATTCGAACCAGCACCTTTCAGTGCACGGACGACGCCCAACTGACTGTGCCACCTGAGCCAGAGCATCATCAGGGAGCTTCATTCAGCACTGGTTACCCTTTGTATAAAGGCAACGCAGACCTCTCTGTGCTTTTACTTCTGTTCTACCTTCTTTTGGGCTCTGCTGGCGGAGGCTCTGAGCCTCTACTTACTCCTGTCCCTCCTCTCCCTCCCCTTGGCCCGGTCGTCTCTGAAATCCCTCTCTCTCTCCCAGTCATTTCCAGGCCACGCCCTGGCTGGCTCTCTTTCCTGCCGCCTCTTCTCCCTGCCCCGGTCATGGTCTCGCTCCCTGGTCCTTGACTCCCAGTGTCTTTCTCGGGATCGCGAGCGCTCCCTCTTCTCCCTCTTTCCCTCTCTATACTGATCACTTTTAATAACGGGCAAATTAATGGGTTTTCGGAAAGGCCGATCTCGCCCCCCAAATCGCAGCTGCCCAGATTCCTTTTTTCCCCCCAGGCCTCCTCCCAGCCGCCGAGGGATCCACCCTTTGAGAGTCCTTTCCAGTTCGTAGTCCACAAATATCTCGTGCTGGTCGATGAGCAGGCCGTCAGCGTCCCGGTAGGCTCTGAGCAGGGAGCGCTCCTCCTTGTACTCGATGAAAGCGTAGCCCTTGGAGAAGCCCGTGACCAGGTCCCGCACCAGCCGAAGCCGCCGGATGTCCCCGTAGCGGGAAAATACCTCCTTTAACTTCTCCTCTTTGGTCTGCAAGTTTAGTCTGGCCACAAACAGGGTGAGGAGGGGGTCCCCCGTGACGCCTTTGTTGGGGGTGTATTGCGCCAGCATTGCCCTCCAGACGGCGCGGTCGTGGGGGTCCTCATCCGTGCCATCGATGCTGCCAGCTTTAAGGGGGTCATACTCCTTGGCGATGGGCATCCAATCGTTCATGTTCTAGGAAGGACCACAGCAAGCATTTATGTAGCACCCACTGTGCGCTACTCGTTTGATCCTTACAACAGCCCCATAAAGCAGACACCATCATTCACCCCTTCTTTAATAGGGAAGGGAGTGGATTCCCAGAGGCTGAGGCCTCCCCGCTAGAAAGTGGGGGAGATCGCATCAGAGCCAAGCAGTGGGGCTCCGAGATGCTCTCCCCCACACTTCCCCACCGCCCCTCCCAGGAGGAGGCAGAGGGCAACCTCACCTGAGTTTGAGATACGTATTATCCTCCAGCTTAACCACCATAGGGAACTTACTAACTCCAGGAACTAACTGTAATGTAGAGAATGAATCAAAACCGAGGATCAAAAGCTAGGCTCACCTTTTAGAGACTTTAAAATGGTCAGGAAAACCAGCCTGGGAAATGCTACAGAAATGTCATTTAAAAAAACTTTACTACCAAGGCCCTGGCCAGTGTGGCTCAGTTGGTTGAGCATCAAAACATGCACTGAGAAGTCACTGGTTCAATTTACCCGTCAGTGGTGTGTAGGAGGCAGCTGCTAGATGTTTCTCTCTCACCTGGATGTTTCTCCCTCTCTCTTCTCTCGCTCTAAAATCAATAAAAACATTTAAAAAATTTTTCTTAACTCTACTACCAAGAATTCCAAACATACCAATGTAGAGCATGGCATAACTTTCCACGAATTCCTTGCCTGGCTTTTACTATGACCAACATGGGGATGGTCTTGTTTGCTCTATGCTTCCACTCACATCACCACTCCCCGATGATTCTGAAGCAAATTCTAGACATTTACATCACTCATCTGTGTCACTACAAGATAAGGCCTTTTTCAAAAGCCAAACTACAAGGGAAAACGGTGCTTGGAACGCAGCATTTCGCATCTGTCAGTGCACAGATAGCAAAGCTAAAACAGCAGTCACCCAGCAGTGGGCTCTTCGATTCAAAGGAATAAAAGATTTCTTCCCAGTTTCCTAGCGGATAACCTGCTTATGCCTTGGAGCACAAGAAGTGGCTGCAATGATTTTAGTCCGGCAAGCACACTGCAATTGTCATTCACCCCAATATATGACCGTTGTTTCTGAAAGCGGGTGGGGAAATGCAAGTCTGACACCCGATCACTGATTCATGTGAACCTGCTGGAATAATATAGTGCTTGCCAACGTTTCAGACACTGCTGCTAACCATGTGACCACCTCTGTAAGTCTTCAGAGCCAGTGCTGAAATATGCTGCTTAAAACCCAGGGCTCTTGGCTAACAGCACCTTCCCATCATACTAGTTAAGATGATACCTATAATGTCCCCCCCGCTCCTCACACTTCCCTCCAGAATCTTTTTGCTTTTCTTCTTCTTCAGTTCATGGATTATGTAGGAAGAGTGATTGTTTGGCAGGTACACTGTGGACTTTCCCCCCAATAAAAAGCCAAACACCCTCAGAAGAAAATCCGAAGTCAACAGACTCAAGCCCTCTGGCCCTCACGCAGCCTATCACCATATTCCACTGCAAAACCTATTCTATCCGGGATTGCGCCTCGTGCCTTGGATGTGCCCGAGTTCCCCAGCCCCATGCCTCTCTCGGTGCAATTTCCTCTGCTGGGAATATTCCCTTCCTTTCCGCCTCCCACATCTCCACTGCGGACGTTCTACTGGCCTTTCCAGGTCCAGCTCCCGGCCTCCACCCCTTGAAGCAAAACGTGCCTCTCCCACAGCTCACCTAGCTCCTCTGTCAGACTCATCGCTTTTTTTGTCCCCAACACCCAGTAAACGCTTTTCAGTCTAAGGTCTGCCTCACTTCATCTCGGTCTTAGGACCCTTCCCGGTATATGCTGGGGAACGGAACCAACTGCAATCATAATTCACTGAACTTCTTTTGGTCCAAATCAGACGAACAGGACCACTTCATTGAGAACCGAGAGGCAGGACGTGACGCCGTCACTACTTTGTAAAAGTAGGGCTTGTCTATCTGTCATCAATAACAAGCAGCTTTGGAGGAGGCACCTCTGGAATCCTCAGCATAAAAGGCTGGTAAACAGCGGGAGCCACGGAAGGCGCACCGGACACAGGTGAGACGATTTCATCTGGGCCCGGGCTCGGCCTCTAAGGCACTTCGTCTCTTTTCCCTCTGGTGGCTGGAGTTTCTCCACGTGTTAAGAAGGGGAAAAAAGCCCTGGCCGGTTTGGCTCCATGGATAGAGCGTCGGCCTGTGGACTGAAAGGTCCCAGGTTCGATTCCAGTCAAGGGCATGTACCTGGGTTGCGGGCACATCCCCAGTGGGGAGTGTGCAGGAGGCAGCTGGTTGATGTTTCTCTCTCATCGATGTTTCTAACTCTCTATCCTTCTCCCATCTTCTCTGTAAAAAATCAATAAAATATATTAAAAAAAAAAAAAAAAAAAGAAGGGGAAAAAAAAGATACCACTATGTTGTTTGAATGTCTGCTCTAATGTTCTCTACATTAATTCTACTGGCCCTAAAATTCTTAGATTCTAGCCTCCATCACAAGGTTGCAGGGGAAAAAACAAGGGCCATTATAACCATGGTTAACTTGTACTGAACCCTCAGGAGTTCTGGATTCGTCATTATTTCACAAATGGGGATGGGACGTGAGAGATGAATGGTGTCCTGTGGAGGTGGGTGGGGCAGTTAACCATTAGAGAGAAAAGCGTGGAACGTGAAAAAAGAGCATGAGACTGGGAATCCGGAACACCCAGGTTTAAGACCTCGTCCTATGTTGGGCAAAACGTAAATCATCCATGAAATGTAGCTAAACGCCACTGCACCGGCGAAGATTAGATACATATCTCTGAAACTGCTTTACAATTATAAAGTATTATGCAAATAAAGTTATTATTAAGCAATAAAAGCACTTCTGTCCTCACTGAGTCTAAAAGCACGACATTCCCACGCTTCCCACCCAGGTGGGCTTAAGGCGGGACCCGCAGTCCTGCCGAGCATGCGCAGTGGCGCCGAGCATGCGCAGTGGCACGCAGACGCTAAGGCGGAAGTGTCCCTGGAAAGGCCTGTACCCCTCAAACCCCGAAGCGCCTCCGCTTTGGCTGTCGGCCCCTCACCTTCCGGGTGGACGTAGAGAGGAGAGGCCAATCTTTCCAACCCAGCTATCGCCTCAGCTCCTCTACACACAACCCCGAAAGATCTGCCCCTTTGCCAGGTTCCAACATGGCGGCCCACACGCGCGCGGAAAAAGGCCGTCCAGGCGGAATTAACTAAGTCCTTCCCGCCAGGTGGGCGCCGCTCTCACTCACCTCACCCAGGCGCGGGCTCCCTCTCCCGCGGACACCGGCGCTGGGTTCCTTAAGAATGAAAGATTCTTGGTGCGGCCTCCGACCGGACCTTTACATTGGCAACAGCAGATTCGTCACGGGCGCCGTTTCCGCTTTTGCTTTTGTTAGGGGGGAAAAAAATGTAATCCCTTGGTTGAGCATCGAAGGCGTATTATTTACGAGCTGAATGAAATTTCTAATATTTTTTTCCCACGAAGACAAGACCTGTTCAGTTTGCACCGTTTGAGTTGAAAGACTATCGAATCTGCAGGTAGGCGTCTGAGAGCCACGGGCTTCCTACGCGCCGCCTTGGGCTCCGTCAGCGCCCGGCGAGTTTATTTTTAGACTCCCTTTGACCAGTAAATATGGTTTCAGCTTTATATTATGGCTTCTTCGGGAAATGCCTGTGCTGGTTCGAGTGAAATTTGGTACGTTTCCCCAGCGAATCCCCAACCCCAAATGTGATAAGTTCCCGTTTCACACAAGCCAAACCGGAGAGTTACCGTGAGGCTTCCCGATGGGCGCAAGGGGGCATCTCCTTGGAGGTTTGATTTGCGTTTCTCCCAGGATGTGGAGCATCTTTTCTTATGCTTATTGGCCTCTCGAAGGGTCACCTGAAAGGCATCCCCATGACTGACGGCCACATCTATAGGGTGTGCCCCCCCAAAATGTATACGCACGCTTTGAGTGACTATAAGGGCCGTGTTTATTAAAGTAGATTTCACTTTCACAATCGAGCCATCAGCTGTTGGAAGTGTGTATACATTTTTGGAGACACTCTGTTCCAAATAAAAATTATATACAAAATTAATTACATAACAACATACCGTATAAACCAAGCAGAAGATCTGGAGAACTCTACTAGCGACTTCTCTAGGAGTTTCATATTACTGGTCTTTTTTATTTTATTTTATTGATTTCAGAGGAAGAAAGAGGGAGAGAGAGAGAGAAACATCAGCGATGAGAGAGAATCATGGTTCGGCTGCTTCCTGCAAGTCTCCCACTGGGGATGAGCCCACAACCGGGGCATGTGCCCCTGACAGGAATCGAACCTGGGACCCTTCAGTTCGCAGGCCGACGCTCTATCCACTGAGCAAAACCGGCTAGGGTCCTTTTTTTTTTTTTTTTTTTTTTTTTAAATGTGTTTTTATCATTGAAAGTATCACAGGTGTCCCTTTCCTCCCCATTGACCCCAGCCAACCCAGCACCGCCCCCCAGGCCTTCACCGCACTATTGTCTGTGTCTGTGGGTTCTGAATATATGTATATAAGTTCATTGATTAATCTCTTCCCACCCCACCCCCCTTCCCTCTGAGATTTGACCGTCTGTTCCATGCTTCTATGCCTCTGAATCTATTTTGTTCATCAGTTTCTCTTGTTCATTAGATTCCACGTGTTAGTGAGATGGTATGGTGTTTGTCTTTCTCTGACTGACATATTTCGCTTAGCATAATATTCTCCGTCCCTCCATGCTGTCTCAAAGGGTAAGAGATCCTTCTTTTTTACAGCTGCATAGTATTCCATTGTGTAAATGTACCACAGCTTTTATAGCAACTATCTACTGATGGGCATTTGGGCTGTTTTTAAATCTTAGGTATTGTAAATAGCAATGCTGCCTGGCCAGCGTGGCTCAGTGGTTGAGCATCGACCTATGAACCATCCCAGTCAGGGCACATACCTGGGTTGTGGGCTTCATCCCCAGTGTGGGGCATGCAGGAGGCAGCCGATTAATTCTTCTCTCTCGTCATTGATATTTCTATCTCTCTCCCTCTCCCTTCCTCCCTGAAATCAATAAAAAATATTTTTTTTAAAAAAGCAATGCTATGAACATAGGGGTTCGTACATTCTTTCTGATTGGTATTAAAGCAGTCACTGAGCATTGGGCACTAAGCTCATTGAATTCTCTTAACCACTCTTGGAGGAGTGTGTCGCTACATCCAAGGTGGAACACCAGCAGGCATGGAGGGTCGGGTGGTGACGGGAGGACCACCACAATCTTTATTACTCCCCCAACTCCTTACGGTGAATAAACATTTCACCTAATTGTATGTTTTTTGTTTTTAGTATATTTGTATTGATTTCAGAGAGGAAGGGAGAGCAAGAGAGAGATAGAAACATCAGTGATGAGAGAGAATCATTGATTGGCTGCCTCCTGCACACCCCACACTGGGAACCGAACTGGCAACCCGGGCATAATGCCCTTGACTGGAATTGATTCCAGGACCCTTCAGTCCAAAGGCCGACGCTCTATCCACTGAGCAACACCAGCTGGGGCATCACCTAAGTTGTGTGTGTTTTTTGAGTGTGCTCTTATGCAAACAGGAACTCAAAAAAAGTGCCCTGGGCACCACCCTTCCTTCGACCAGATTCTTTTCTAAAGACCTTTCGCTCCAAGACATGAAGTCACTGACCCAGGATTGCATGTATTTAACCCAAACTTGGAACATCTCCAAATCCTTGCTGTGTCCCTGTGGGTTTGAAGGGTAACAAGACCAGAAAATAATTTAGAGAACAGGAAGGAGGCCATATTGAGTGAATGGGCCATTCAGGAAATAAATGGTGCCACAGAAGGGCATCAGACTTATTGTGCTTGATGTACCAAAATAGGACCACCAGTTAGCAGCAAGTGGAACTTTCCTATTGATGGGCTAACTTAGTCCCCAAACATTCATGTTCCATTTTTATTACATGTGACCCACTTCTTTTTGGTTGCCAGTTCACTTTTTCCGTAGTTTAACCATGAGTAAGGTATGACCTAACTTTGTACTCGCTTGTATAGTCACTTTGGTTTCTACAAAAAGAAAAAAAGAAGAAAAAAAAAGCTGCCTATGGTTGCATGCCTGTCTTAAATCTCTGGGGAAGAGTTGGTTTTGAAATTATTTTTAAAACCTTGTTACCATGACGTATCATCGGGACTTTAAATATATATATATATAAATTGATTTCAGAGAGGAAGAGAGAGATAGAAACACCAATGATAAAAATCATTGATTGGCTGCCTCCTGCACACCCCACATTGGGGATGCAGCCAAAACCCGGGCATGTGCCCTGACCAGGAATCCAACCGTGACCTCCTGGTTCATAGGTCAGCGTTCAAACACTGAGCCAAACAGGCAGGGTTCATTGGGACTTTTTATTTTTATTTTATAAAATATATTTTTATTGATTTCAGAGATGAAGGGAGAAGGTGAGAGAGATAGAAACATCAATGATAAGAGAGAATCATTGATCAGCTGCCTACTGCATGCACCCTACTGGGGATCAGGCCTGCAACCCAGGCATGTGCTCTTGACCAGAAATGAATCTGGGACCCTTCAGTCCGAAGGCTGACGCTCTATCCACTGAGCCAAACCAGCTAGGGCTCATTGAGACTTTTTAAAAAACTTTCTATGTGTGTTACTGATCCAACTTTCCATATATTGTTCCCATGTAATGATATGAACTTGGGCAATTTCTTATATTTCTCATTTTAGCGAAAAAGTAGTTTATAATAGCCGCCGTCTACTGAGTCCTTACTATGTGCCAGACGCTGTTGTAAAGCCCTTCACAACAATTTTAGGAAGTCTGTTCTGTCCTCAGCCCCATTTTACAGCTGGGAAAACAGCTTGGAGTGGAGAGAGGCCTAATTTACTCGTCTAATATAACACAGCTTGCAAGTGGCTGAGCCAGTCAAGGTTTGAGCACTAGAACCCACCCTTTTGAACACTATGCTACCACTCATTGCTTTTCAAACTTGAGCGTGCATCAGAATTCCCTAGAGGGCTTGTCAAAACACAGAAGGCTGGGGCCCACCCCCAACGTTTCTGATTCAGTGGGTCAAGCATTTGCATTTCTGAAAAGTTTCCACGTGATGCCTCCGTGGCTGGTCTGGAGCCTTTTTGTTTATCCATTCTTCCGCGGGCGGACATTTGGGTTATTTCCACCTTTTGGCTATTGTGAATGAATGGGGCACACTTTTAAGAACCTCTACAATAACCCGTAATTGTTTTCATAATTTCCAAATGGAGAAAGAAGGGTCATGATTACCTTCCAACAGATTGTGCAGTTAATTGTAGGAGGAATCTAAGAGTCATTAACACTTTGTAATAATAAGCAACATCCATTGGTTGTTATGATGTGCTAGACACTGGACGAGGCACTTTCTATGCCTTATCTCATCCAATCCTTACAACAGTCTTGGGGACTACTTTCCCCCCCAGTTTACAGTGAGGAAATGGGAATTTGGAGAGATTAAGGAATTTGATCCAACTTATGTACCAGCAAGTAGGAATTTGTGAGGTCCAAGTCAAAACTATCTGAATTCCTGGCCGGGTTGCTTAGTTCGGTAGAACATCATCCCAATACGCCAAGGCTGTGGGTTTGATCCCCGGTCAGGGCAACTACAGGAATCAATAAATGAATGTATAAATAAGTGGGACAATAAATCGATGTTTCTCTGTCTTTCTCTCTCCCTTCCTCTTTTTAAGATTAAAAAAAAAAAAAAAGACTATGTAGCAAAGGGCAGAAAGCACAAAGAAAAGAAGATGCAGTGCCTTAGAGGGTGAATTTCTAGGGAAATTTCCAGCAGACTTTTGACAACCACAATGGTGTGGAAGAGATTGACGCCAGCAGTGGTGGCTGGGGATACCGGAGGTAAAAAAAAGAAACTCAACAACATTAAATTCTTTCTGACAATGTTGCTCTAGGAAGGCTACTTCCACTTAACAGCATTGGAACATAATTCACAAATCATAAAATTAACCCACTTAAGTGCGCAGTTCGGTGGTTTTTAGTGTATTCACAGAATTGTGCAACCATCACCACATCTAACTTTAGAACATTTTCATCACCCCAAAAAGAAACCTTGTCCACATTCGCAGACACTTGCCGTCCATTCTCCCCCAGCTCTAGACAACGACTGATCTACTTTCTGTCTCTGCAGAATAGATTTGCTGTTCTGCACATTTCGTGTCAATGGAATCGTACAATTCGTGGTCGTTTGTGACTGGCTTTTTTCCCTTAGCAAAGTGTTGCCAGAGGTCATCCACATTGTAGTGAGTGTCTGCTTCATTCCTTCCCTCCCCACCCCAGCCCCAGCACTTTATCTAGGTATGCGTTACCTAAAGGAAATGCACAAGTATTGTGTACAGCTCCACAATGTTTTTTTAAAAATATATTTTTATTGATTTCAGAGAAGAGGGGAGAGGGAGAGAGATAGAAACATCAATGATAAGAGAGAATGAGAATCATTGATCGGTTGCCTCCTACATGCCCCCTACTGGCATTTGAGTCTGCAGCCTAGGTGTGTCTGGGAATGGAATGGTGACCTCCTGGTTCATAGGTCGATGCTCAACCACTGACCCACACCAGCTGAGCAGTTATTGATCAAAATTTTAAGAGAGCTCTCTGGAGTGCTGAAAATATGCTGTATCTTGATCTCAGTGGAGGTCAAACAAGTATATGCACAGGTAAAATGTTGTGGAGTTGAGCCTGGCTGATGTGGCTCAGTGGTTGAGTGTTGACCTGTGAACCAGGAAGTAAGTCACAGTTGGATTCCCTGGATATGGGCTCAATCCGTTTTCGGGGCATGCAGGAGGCAGCCGATCAATGATTCTTTCTCATCATTGATGTTTCTCTCCCTCTCTCTTCCTCTCTGAACTCAATAAAAATAAGTATTTTTTAAAATTTTTGGCCAAGAGCACATGAGATAAAATTTATCATTTTTTTCAAATTGATTTTGAGAGCGAGTTGCATCTTACAGGCGCCACGCTGGGGATTGAACCCACAACCAGGGTATGTGCCTTGACATCCACTTGTTGTTCCATGTATTTTGTGAATTCATTGGTTAATTCCTGTATGTGCCCTGAGCAGGGATCACCCCTGCAACCTTGGCCTATCGGAGGATACTCTAACCACTGAGCGATCTGGCCAAGGCTAGTCTGATTTTTTTGAACTAGTTTTGCATCCCTGGACTAAACTCCTCTTGGTAATCTATAATAATAAAAGCATAATATGCTAATTAGACTGGACATCCTTCCGGACGACCTTCCCGACGAAGCCGGGGCTTCAAGGGAAGCCTGGGTCTCGGGTGCCAGAGGAAGGCCTACTCTTGCATGAATTTCATGCATCAGGGCTCTAGTAGTATATAACACTTTTTTTTTTTAATATATTTTATTGATTTTTTTACAGAGAGGAAGGGAGAGGGATAGAGCCAGAAACATCGATGAGAGAGAAACATGGATCAGCTGCCTCCTGCACACCTCCTACTGGGGATGTGCCCGCAACCAAGGTACATGCCCTTGACGGGAATCGAACCTGGGACCCTTGAGTCCGCAGGCCGACGCTCTATCCACTGGGCCAAACCGGCCAGGGCTATAACACTTTTTATGTTGTGTCAAATTCTGTTTGCTATATCTTGCTAAGGATTTTGCCTTGATTTTTACTTTGCCCATTACTTGGGTTTTCTTTGTTGTTGATGATGCATTGTAGGCATTCTATATATATTCTGGATATTAACCCCTTATCAGACATGATTTGCAACTATTTCCCCTTCTGTAGATTGCCTTTTCAGTCTGTTAATTGTGTTCTTGGATGCACAAGTTCTAAATGTATCTTCCTTTTGTTGCCTGTGCTTTTGAAGGAATTGCCAAGTCGAATGACATAAGCTTTATGTCATGTTTTCTTCTAAGAGTTTTTTAGGTTTAGTCTTTGATCCACGTTGAGTTAATTTTTGTGTATGGTGTAAGGTATGGCTCCAACTTCATACTTCTGCGCATGGGTATCCGATTTTCCCAACACCATTTGTTGAAAAGACTGTCCTTTCCCCCGTGAATGGCCGTGGCACCTTTGTTGAAAACCATTTGACTGTATATGTTAGGTTTTATTTCTGGGCTCCCTGTTCCTTCATTGCTTTTATGGCTGAACACTATTCCATTGTGTGGCTATACCATTTTTATTTATATTGTATCTCGGTATGTTGTATCTCAGGGCATTGTAACATCTGAGCCCTTGCCTAGGATCCTCCCTGTGATCATCAGAACAGCATGCCCTTTGAAAACAGTGTCTGTTTTGCTTGCTTACAAAGAAAGCTGGCAGTGTATTCCGGGGAAAGGCCAGCGCGGTTGCTGAGCTTTCTCCCTCTGTTACAAACCTCTCAGCAAAACAGAAGTGATTCATTTTGCACTCCCCACTGCTGACCCGCGCAGTAACACCCTCTGTACCTGGAGAATGTGCCCACCCCAACCCATGTGCCAAGTGTCCGTCTGGCACCCAAGCTTCATGTTTGTTTCTGGAGAGGAAGGAGAACACCAGCTGACGTTTTTGAGCGCTTCCTGGGTGCTTTTGGCCACACTCGTTATCTCATTATCTCATCTGGTATATTCCTCGCAGCAAGCCCTCCATTTCGGTACTGCTATTCACTGGGGGGGAAACTGAGGCTCCGAGGAGTTAAGTACCTTGGCCAAGGCCACAACGCTTGTACGTGGAGGAGCCCAGGAGTCGGCAAAGCGCACAGCGCAGGGATTTTCCGCTTCACTGAGGGTCAGAAGCCCCGGGCCCTGGCGACCACTGGCCTGGGAGCTTCTGGCAGCCCAGGCTCCTGGGCGCACCTGGGCGCGGCCCCCAACGACTGCTTCCTGTCTGGTCGCAGACTTCAGGAAATATCAGAGACCTAGAGCTCCCTCCAGGTGCAATGCCAGTTCTGAGGCTGGAAAGCTTGAGTGTAGAGAGGAAAAAGTTGGTGCTTTTTTTACTCTCCCTCACTGCCTGACGTCGGAAATTCCGCCCCCGTCTCCGTGGAAACCCGGCGTCCGTAGCCGCAGTCACCAGGGGCGGAGCTCCGAGCCGCGGCTCCGCCCCGAGTTTGCCGCGGCTCCCAGGTGGGGAGCAATCACTGGCACCCCGTATCCCCTCCGTTCCTCTTCTTGGCTGCCCGCCTTCCCGTCGGCGTTCGTTCCCCAAACCACATCCCGGAGGCGCTCTTCCGCCTGGTCCTCAGCCCGGCGGGCGCACCGGGCGTCGGGGCCTGAGAGCCGCGCGCTGCCCCCGATCCCCGCGGCTCCCCCCTCGGCGGCGCTGATTGGCCGCTCCCGGGCCTTCCCCTGCGCGGGCTCCACTGCCCAGCGGAAAGTTTTCTGTGTCCGGGGGAAGTTGGGCCTTTGGAGACGCGGAGACAGCAGCTCCCGAGGCTGCGGGGCCCTGCGCGGCCATGGAGATGGAGGCGCCCCCTTTGCGAGAGGAGGAGGAGGAGGAAGAGGAGGAGGAGGACGAGGCTGGCCCCGAGGGGGCTCTGCGCAAGAGCCCGTTCCAGCTGACCGCCGAGGACGTGTATGACATCTCCTACGTGGTGGGCCGCGAGCTGATGGCGCTGGGCAGCGACCCCCGGGTGACACAGCTGCAGTTCAAAATCGTCCGCGTGCTGGAGATGCTGGAGACGCTGGTGAGCGAGGGCAGCCTGGCGGCGGAGGAGCTGAGGATGGAGCGGGACAGCCTCCGGAAGGAGGTGGAGGGGCTGCGGAGAGAGGGCGCGGCGGCCAGCCCCGAGGTGAGTGCGGGAGGCAGGGGCGCGTGGGGCAGTGCCCGCTGGCACGGAGGCCCCTTTCCTCTCTCTCTCTCTCTTTTAAAATATACTTTTAAAATTGATTTTAGAGAGGAAGGGAGAGGGAGAGATAGAAACATCAATGATGAGAGCGAATCATTCATTGTCTGCCTCCTGCACGCCCCACACAACCCGGGCTTATGCCCTGACCAGGAATAGTGATCGCCTGGGTCATAGGTCGACGTTCAGCCACTGAGCCACACCGGCGGGGCCTCTTTCCTCTCTTGAATGTCCAAGCCTCTTCAAGCAGAGCACTGCGAGTATCCAGCCCACAGCTTGGAAACGCTGCGATTGTAAACATTTATGGAGCAGTTACTAGGTGCTGGGCCCTGTCCGGCGTAGTTCTAAATCAGCGGCCGCTAGCATTTTTGACCATGACCTAGAGCAGTGGTTCTCACGCTCTAGCCGGCATCACCGTCCCCTGGGTGTTCTTTAAAACACGGACTGCAGGGCCCCAGCCCCGGAGTTTCTGATTCAATAGGTCAGGACTGGGACCCAAGAAGCTTCCGGATATGCAGATGCTATTGGTCCAGACATCACACTTTGAGTGTCTTTGACCCAGATTAAGAAGTAAAGTTTGCCGAGCCGGTTTGGCTCAGTGGATAGAGCGTCGGCCTGCGGACTCAAGGGTCCCGGGTTCGATTCCGGTCAGGGGCATGTACTTTGGTTGCGGGCACATCCCCAGTGGGGGGTGTGCAGGAGGCAGCTGATCGGTCTCTCTCATCGATGTTTCTGACTTTCTGTCCCTCTCCCTTCTTCTCTGTGAGAAATCAATAAAATATATTAAAAAAAAAAAAAAGAAGAAGTAAAGTTTGACTAAAGAGAAATTAGTTTTTGACCACAAAAAAGACCCGTGTGAGAATATTCAGTAGCTTTATTCGTACTCGTGCGAAACTGGAAAGAATCCAGACGCACCAGAGGAGTGGGTGGGTTTTTAAAAGGTGGTACAGCCATGCGATGGAATACTACACAGCTCCGAAAAAGAGCAGAGTGCTGACACACACAACTGTGTGGATGACCCTCGCAGGTGTTGCATTGAGAGACAGGAGCCAGGCACAGAAGACAGCCTACCATATGTGAGATTCAGGAACAGGAAGAATAACCTTTACTTACAGAAGACAGATTGGTGCTAACCTAACGCCAGGGAGGGGACAGCGAGAGGGAGCAGGAAGGAAATGCACTGTGGTTATGTGGGTATATACATATGGCAAAGATCATCAAGCCATAAACTCAGGAGTAGTATGTTTTACTGTATGTATGTTATACCTCCATTTTACAGGATTACATTTCAAGAAGCAACATGATGCACGGTCATATTTCCTACTTTATGAGTTTTTAAATTCTTGTCGCAACTCACTAAATTAATATCATACTCAGGACAGAGTCTTCAGCCACAGTTTTAAAAATAAGATCTGCCCTAACTCTCTCGGTTAGTCTTTATACTATATTATACCCATTTTACAGAAATGGAGGCGTAGACCAGGCAAATAATTTATTAAGGACTTAGAGCAAGTAGGAGGTGGAGGCAGGCTTTGAGCTCAGAGATGCTGGTTTTAACCACACCATACTGAAACGGGCCTTGGACCTTACACTGTACCAACATTTGTTGAGTGACTGCCCTGTGCGGGCTCTGGGGCCATGGAAGTAAATCAGACGAGGGTCCTGCGTTCTGGCGGCTCACAGCTAGTGGGAGGGGTAAGACGCACATTCCTCCAAAACTCGGATCCAAGATTACAGACTGAGGAGCGAGCCCTGGAAGCCCAATGGCCAGGGTCGCTGAAATTCCCAGGGAAGAGTGAAGGTTTCTGGTAGCTCCCCTGCTACACTCAAATTTCACCTACTCCTTAGTCACGGGGGCAATGATATTTGCAGATAAGGCTCTTCCACAAAATACCATGTGTGGGCACGCACGTACAGTGCGTTTGAAACTTCGTGGCCCATGCGCAGAAGTCGGTATTTTGTGGGAGAGCCACACTCAAGGGGCCAAAGAGCCGCATGTGGCTCGCGAGCCGCAGTTTGCCAACCACTGGGCTAGGGCAAGGCTCTACTTTTGTATCATCCTAGGAGGTGCTTGAATATCATGATGAGCAGCCTGGCTTTTGAGACTCGAGAGCAGTTCAGTGACTCACCCAGCATCACAGCTCATGCCCTGTCCCCTTCTCCTGTCACCTTCAACTCCAGGCACAAGGACACGGCACCAGGGGCCATGGACAGTGTGACTTCCCATAGGGGCACAGCGGACAGGCTTCATCAGCCAGCAGATGAGATGGCACATTTTCCTCCCAAACCACAGACTTCAGAACGGGGGGTGGGGAAAAGGCAGAGAGAGTGAATGTTTAGTTCCCTTAGACAGTTCATACAAATAGGCCTTATTTTTTATTTATTCTTCTAAATTATTATTTTAATTGTGATCATGTACACATAAAATTCACCGCTTTAACCCTTTTAAAAATCAGCAGCATTAAGTGCATTCACATGGTTGTGCAACCTTCACCACCATCCTCTCCAGATCTCTTCATCTTGCAAAACTGAAACTCTGTGCTCATGAAACAACAACTCCCCATTTCTCCCTCCCCCCAGCTTTTGGCAACTACTGTTCTACTTTCTACATCTATGAATTTGCCTATTTTAGGTACTTCCTGTAAGTAGACTCTTATAATATTTGTCCTTTTGTGACTGGCTTCTTTCAGTTAGCATAATGTCTTTAAGGTTTATCCATGTGTCACAATTTTCTTCCTGTTTTTTAAATCCTCACCGGCTGACATGCTGAGAGAGAGAGAGAAACATGGGTGTGAGATTGGTTGCCTCCCATATGCGCCCTGACCTGGGCCGGGGTGCAAGCCTGCAACCAAGGGACATGCCTTTGACCAGAATCAAACCCGGGACCCTTCAGTCCACGGGCCGACGCTCTATCCGCTGAGCCAAAGGAGCCCTGGCACTTTTCTTGGAGAATGGTGCTTTCACTTCTTTACCACCAGCCAAACACTCCCAACAGGCAGCACCTCCTCTCCTCAGGGCCCCGGGAGTAACCAAACCAGAGAACGTTGCTGGGGTGGACAGCTCATCCTCCTGAGGGAAGCTGCATCAGTGACATCTTTTCTTCCAGGGAAGCCAGGCACCAGGCAAGATGGTGGTTGACCTGACCGACCCCAACCGGCCGCGCTTCACCCTGCAGGAGCTGCGGGACGTGCTGCAGGAGCGCAACAAGCTCAAGGCGCAGCTGCTGCTGGCGCAGGAGGAGCTGCAGTGCTACAAGAGGTGGGCTCTGCCGCCTGCGAGGGCGCCCTCCAACGTCCCGCATTGGCTCCCATGTCCATTCAGCCAGCTTATCCGAGCCCCATGATGGCCGGCGTGGGGGTGTAGCCGTGACCCAAATGGAGCAAGTGCATGCCCCATCTAGGGAGACAGGTAGGCAGCAAGGAAGCCTGAAGTAAGCACTCAGGGTCATGGTCTCAGTGCTCTAAAGAAGATGAAAGCAGGGGGTGTGACCCAGACCCAAGTGCTGAGGGAGTTGGGGGGGAGGGACGTGTTTTATTTATTTACTTGTTTGTTTGCTTATGTGTTTATTTTTAAAATTTTTTTTATTGATTTGAGAGGAAAGAAGAGAGAGAGAGATAGAAACATTAATGATGAGAGAGAATCATTGACTGGCTGCCTCCTGCATGTCCCCCACTGGGGATCAAGCCCACAACCCAGGCATGTGTGCCCTGACCTGGAAGAGAACGGTGACCTCCTGGTTCATGGGTCAGTACTCAACCACAGTGTCACACGGGGGGGCAGGGAGGAACTTGTTTTAGATTGAGTAGTTAGGGACAACCCCTCTCAGGTGAAGGACAGGAAGCAGACAGCCATGTATAGATTCGGTAGGACCAGAATGGAACAAGAAGTTCAGAGAAGTTCAAAGACCGGAGGTGGGAACCAGCGTGGCCAGTTAAAGAGACCCGGCAGGGGGGACCTGAAACGCAGGGGGGGGTGGTCTGGAAGAGACTGGGGCGTGGTGCCTTGTCCGCCACAGGCAAGAGCTCTGACTTTATTGTAAGCAGGGAAGGTTTAATCGAGGGACTGACAAGATCCATTTAAAGGATCAATGAGGTGATTTTGATAACTGAACTATTTGGTTATGAGAGGATATCATTGCCCTTTGGAAGCATACACTGAATTTTTTTTTTCTTTTAAACATATTTTATTGATTTTTTTACAGAGAGGAAGGGAGAGGCATAGAGAGTTAGAAACATCGATGCGAGAGAAACCTCGATCAGCTGCCTCCTGCACATCTCCTACTGGGGATGTGCCCGCAACCCAGGTACATGCCCTCGACTGGACTCAAACCTGGGACCCTTCAGTCCACAGGCCAGTGCTCTATCCACTGAGCCAAACCGGTCAGGGCCACACTGAATTCTTTAGGAATAAAGAAGTAAGATGTCTCCAACTTACTCTCAAGTGGTTCAGAAAGAAAGTAGATGCATGAAGGGTGGGGTAGGTCGGTGAATCGGTGGGTGGGTGGATGGAAAGATAAGATAAAATAAGATTTAAAAAGGTAAGATGGGATAAACATAAATAATTGGGGGATCTGGGATAAAGTATTTGGGAAGTCTTTTTTACTAATCTTACAACTTTTCTCTAAGTTTTAAATTATCTAAAAATCCAAAGTTATAAAAGATCACAATAATATGTGAACGGAGGGACTATAGGACAGTGATGGCGAACCTATGACACACGTGTCAGAGGTGACACGCGAACTCATTTTTTTGGTTGATTTTTCTTTGTTAAATGGCATTTAAATATATAAAATAAACATCAAAAATATAAGTCTTTGTTTTACTGTGGTTGCAAATATCAAAAAATTTCTATATGTGACACGGCACCAGAGTTAAGTTAGGGTTTTTCAAAATGCTGACACGCCGAGCTCAAAAGGTTCGGCATCACTGCTATAGGACAAGGGAAAGAGGAAATAAGGAAATTGTTGACGTATCAGGGTTGGACTTTGCTATATCCACCTGAGCCTCTGTCCCCCAAAATGTTGTCTTTCATGTTGGTGTTTCTTGAAAAGGGGGGCGGGGGCTGTGTGGTTGCATGGCTCTGGGAAACACTGAGTTACACAGGTGGGTTTCTTTAGAGGCAGAAGAGGGTAAGAGCAAGCGAATAAAAACGCAGAACCCGCTGCTCATGGTTAGCAGTGCTTGCCACGGGTCAGCCCTCGGCTGAGTGTGTCCCAGGCATCATTTCATTCAGTGCTCACTGCAGGCCTGTGCGGTCAGGTACCTGCTGGAAGTCCACGGCTGCTGGTGGCAACAGTGAGGCGTGTCCTCAGGCAGCCCGAGCACAGCCTGCACTTTTCATGTCAGGCCACCTTTGGACCCTGCAGGTTTGGAAGGCAGGGCGGATCCTGATTCCAGACAAAGCCCCGAGTGATGTTATTCTTTCCGTTCTTTCCTCGAGCATCATGAAGACAGCAGTGGCAAAGCAGAAACGTTCTAGGAAGCCAAATCCAAAAGGGCTGAGTTCTGTCAACAGACGTTTCATTGTCTGCCTTCTGCTGAGGTTGGAAGCATGTTCATGGAAAGACCTGTCTTTGTCTCATTTGATAAGTATTTCAGACACAGGTAGTTAAAGCCAGGAGCCGCCAGACTGGCAGCTTGTGAGGGAATAAAGCAGCACCCTTTGTTTCCAGTGCTGAATTCCCAGCAAACAACAGATGTGCCCTTCCCGTCTGGTGCAGGCTGAGACAGCAGCTTTGGCTTGGTCTCTCGTGCTCTCTGTCCTGGAGAAACGAGCCTGTCAGCTGAGGTGTTCTCTTAGCAGTGGCATCTGGAGGCCTAAGCTCATACTAACGATTATTATTTTTTTTAAATATATTTTTATTGATTTCAGAGAGGAAGGGAGAGGGAGACAGAGATAGAAACATCAATGATGAGAGAAAATCATTGATCAGTTGTGTCCTGCATTCCCCCACTGGGGATGGAGCTCACAACCAGGGCATGTGCCCTGATCGGGAATCAAACTCTGACCTCCTAGTCTGTAGGATGACGCTCAACCACTGAGCCACGCTGGCCAGACCTAAAGATCATTTTAGATTGAAGGCAGCTATGGTAGGCTATTTCCATAGGTGGCCACAACTGTTGTCCCCATCGTGCATGCTTTTTGCAAGGAGACTTTTCCTCTTCTCTCACCAAGTGGTAGAGACTTCCCTCCCCTTGAATCAGGGTGGCCCTATGACTTGCTCTGGTCAATGGAACGTGCCATTTGGCTTAAGGATCTAAGAGACCTCCAGGCTTTCATTTTTTATGCTCTTGGAATGCTGCCTTGAGACCGCCATGCTGTGAAGAAGTCAAGGCAGTCACAAGGAGAGGTCACGTGACGGAGAACCAAGGTGCCCCAGCCGACAGCCCCAGCTGTGCCCAGCCCCCAGCTCATCCACCAATTCATCCAACCCTAAGCAGGACAGCCATCCTGAGACTCAGAAGCCACCCTGTTGTAAATCTAAGTTTCAGGGCGTCAAATAACAATAGATAGTGGAAAGGGGAATTTTTAGATGATGCCTCTTATGAAATATTAATATTATAATAAAAATGTAATATTATTATAGTAACTAATAAGAGTCCACTCTTTGCAACGGAGAGAGAAGGGTGGGTCCTGCTTTCCGAAGTTCATATGTAAAGGGGCGTCTCAGTCAGCTCAGGCTGCCGTAACAAAATATCTTAGACTGGGGCTTCAGCAATAGAAGTGTCTTTTCTCCCGGTTCTGGAGGCTACAAGTCCCAGATCCAGGTGCCAGTATGAGGGTGCTGACATTTCCTGACTCCTTGGCAACTTCCTTCTGGCTGAGTCCTCACAGGGCCTGAGAGAGAGAGAGAGAGAGAGAGAGAGAGAGCGCAGCCCTCTGGTGTCTCTCCTCACAATTGATTGGCCCACGTAGCTGGGAAGGATCCTGGAATTGCTCTCAGAAATAAAACTGCAATGAAGGCCTCGGCGTGGGCACCAGGGACTCGGTGCCTCTTTCTCTCCTCTTTGCTTCTCTTTGTTTGTCCTCGCTATCTTGCATACGGACAGCCCTTCTCTAAATCCTAGGAAGCATGACCCTGGCAGAACAGCCTTCTTCCAACTTCTGCCCATCAAGTCCCTCCTGGGATCACTTGACCCCCATAGCTTCTCAGTCACTATCAACAGCTCTGTACCATCATCCGACTTACTATATATATTTTTTATTTTACTTATTTTTTTACTGACAATTCCCTTCCCCACTGGAATGTCACTTGCACGAGAGAAGATATTTTCTATTTTGTTCATTGCTGTTCATTGCACCATGGCACGGTACGTCGCTTAATAAATATTTGTTGAATGAGTGCCATGTATTATTGTTTCACTTAATCCCTCAATCCTAGGAGGTAGGCACTTCTGTTATCCTCATTTTACTATTTAGGAAATCAAGGCCTAAGTTAAAGAATTTACACATGGCCAAAACCGGTTTGGCTCAGTGGATAGAGCGTCGGCCTGCGGACTGAAAGGTCCCAGGTTCAATTCCGGTCGAGGGCATGTACCTGGGTTGCGGGCACATCCCCAGTAGGGACTGTGCAGGAGGCAGCTGATGTTTCTCTCTCACCGATGTTTCTAACTCTCTATCCCTCTCCCTTCCTCTCTGTGAAAAATCAATAAAATATATTAAAAAAAAAAAAGATTCTTCACTTTCAGGACTGCACAAACAAGAGGTCTGCAGTAAAACACCCCATTTGTCTGCCCCCCTTTCTCCAGTGGCCTGATTCCAGCAAGAGAAGGCCCGGAAGGGAGAAGAGGAAAGGACTCTATGGTTGCCAGGGCCAGCAACGCCAGCAGAGACAAGGAGGAGAAGACCATCATAAGGAAGCTGTGAGTCACCTTGCTGCCCGCTGCTGCCACTGAATGAGCGGCGGACGGAGTGGGGACGAAGGGAGGCTGGCTGGCTACCCCGGGTGGGGAGGTCCTAATCTCCTGGTGGTAGTGCTGTAGCCAATAAGAAAACTCAGTTACAGCCTTGACCAGTGTTCTCAGTGGTTAGAGTGTCAGCCTGAGGACCAAAGGATCTCAGGTTCGATTCCTGGTCAAGGGCAGGTACCTGGGTGCATCCCTGACACTCCTCGGGGTGCGTGTGGGAGGGAACCAATTGATGCTTCTCTCTCTCTTACCTTCCTCTCTCTAAAATCAACAAATAAAATTTAAAAATATATATGAGCCCTCGAAATCTGATGGATATTTTACACTTGCAGCACATTTCAGTAAGACCAGCCATGCGTCAAGGGCTCTTGGGACGTGTAGCTGGTGGCCACCATATCGGGTATCAGGGCTTTAGCCAGTACACGATAAGATCCTTTGTCTTTGACGAAGAACTGAGTTCACATAATTTAAATTTTTTCAATCATGATAAAATATACATAACATAAAATTTATGATTTTAACTGTTTGTAAGTGTACACTTTAGTCATAATAAGTACATTTACATTGTTGTGCAACCATCACCATTATCCATTCCCAGAATTTTTTCATCATCCCATCCTGAAATTCTGGGCTCATTAAACACTAACTTCTCAATTCATCCTTCTTCCAGCCCCTGACAACCACCATTCTACTTTCTTTTTCTTTTAAAAAATGTTTTTATTGATTTTGAGAGAGAGAGAGAGAGGACGGGAGAGGGATATAGAAATAGAAACATCAATGAGAGAGGAACATCATTGATCAGCTGCCTCCTGCACAGCCTCTACTGGGGCTCGAGCCTCCAACCGGGCATGTGCCCTGACCGTGTATTAACCGGCTACCTCTTGGTTCCTGGGTCAACGCTCAACCACTGAGCCGCACTGGCTGGCCAGTCTACTTTCTGACTCTATGAATTTAACTAGCCTAGGCACCTCATCTAAGTGGAATCACACAGTATTTGGATTTTTGTCTTAGCTCGGTGGATAGAGCCGATGGGGAGCCATGGGAGGGCTGAAGCTGGGGAAAGACAGCTCTACATAGTGACAGCTCCCCATTTTATAGATGAACAAACCGAGGCTCTATGAGGTCAAGTCACAGGTCCGAGGTCACGCAGAAAGTTGCGAGCCCAGGGCCCACTAACCACTGCGTTATACTAACAGATGGACTCTGCCACCCTTTGGTTGCTATGCGTGGATTGTAGGGGGCAACAGGAGGCTGTTGAAGTCTGGACTGGGGGTGGCGAGGGGAGAGATGAACGTGGTGGGATTAGGGATATATTTGGGGCATGATGACTGATGACTAAGATGTAGCAGATGGGGGTGTGGGGGGAGGACTTGAGAACAACTCCCAGGTTCCTGGCTGGAATGACTGGGCAGGATTGATGTCACTTCCTGAGAGAGGGCACTGGGGTGGAGGAGGGGCGGATGGCAGAGCACTAGGGCCTGGATCCAAACCAGCTCAGGGCTCGCACCAGCCATTGCTGGCAGGGCTGCCAGCAGCCCTCAGGGAGTTCTTCTTTGATAAGAAGCAAGAGCCTAGATCCCATCCTGACTTCCCAGCCTCCCACCCCGCTGCAACCCCCAACCCCGGCGATCTTTGCTTCGTTCTCATAACTGGAAATAGCGCCGAGATTGTACTTTCCGATCAACCCCAGACATCATTGTTCCTTTTCCAAACTTTGCAGGAAAACACTGAAAGTTTGGTATTCAGATAGCTTTGTATGATTTATGTCTTATCTAAGAATTCACATGCTAATCTCTATTTTTTTTTTTTTTTGCCAAGATCTGTTTTACAGTTGTAGGTAGCATTGAGAAGCTATTGCTTCCTCTGCAATAAAACCACCTAAAATTTTAAAAAAAGGCAGAGTCCATCTGTTAGTATAGCGCAGTGGTTAGTGGGCCCTGGGCTCACAACTTTCTGCGTGACCTCGGACCTGTGACTTGGCCTCATAGAGCCTCGGTTTGCTCATCTATAAAATGGGGATGACCTAGCCGGTTTGGCTCAGTGGATAGAGCATTGGCCTGCGGACTGAAGGGTCGCGGGTTCGATTCCAGTCAAGGGCATATGCCCAGGTCGCGGGCTCGATCCCTAATAGGGAACGTGCAGAGGCAGCCCATCAGTGATTCTCATCATTGATGTTTCTATTTTTTGTTGTCTCCCTCTCCCTTCTCTGAAATCAATAAAAAGATATTTTAAAATAAATAAATAAACAGAACATGGGGATATTGGTTGTGCTCACCTCCTCAAATTGTTGTGAGTGTGAGATGAGCTTTTGGATGAAAAGCCCCCAGTCGGAGCCTGTTCATCGTGAGCCCTGAGTGCATGTTTGAGTCAAAGGCCTGCTTCCGGGGGTTCAGCAGCGGGTCCTGTGCCCCTGCCTTGTCTGTCTGTTCCCTCTGACCCCTCTCTCCCTCCACCCAGGTTCTCCTTCCGATCTGGGAAGCAGACATAGATCCCAGGCGGCGGTTCTCAGATTCTAGAAGACAACCCACCAGGAAGACTGCCCACCTGCTCAGTGCCACGCGGACCCACTGCACTCGCTCATGTGTTTCCCCTCAACGCCGTCCGAGGAGCGAGGAGGTGAGGTTCTCTCTCCATCACCGTCTCCCCGGCTGCAGAACTGGACACCCCCGGAGGCTTGGCCAGGGCAGGGCAAGTGGCACCCAGAAATCAAGAAAGCAGAAGGAAAAGAAAAAAAAAAGCAGAAGGAAAAGAAAAACCAACAGAAAATAAAAAAACGAAAGCAGAAGGAAAGTGCACGGGGGCCCCCACCTGCCCACGTCAGCCGTCGAGGGATCTCGGCGCTCTGCCCCTCCGGCCCCACACTTGGCCTTGCCCTTCACCGTGTGGCAGCCCTGGCAGCCAGGCACCAGCCCAGAGGGAGAGGGGAGAAAGCCGGGAAGCGTGGTATCGACCTTCCGGGGCCTTCGCTGATATTTAGTGACTATCTGACTTTGCTAACAGGACTTTTGTTCCGAGGAGATTTTTGTATTAAATGACTTCCCTTCTTTAAGTATTTTAGAGTTGTCTCTCGGCTTGTGTGACCTTTCAGGTCTCCGTTTCCACGTCTGTAAACTACGTGTGTATGGATAGCTGGTGTTTCTTTGGTGCATTGAGTCTAAGTGATGTACCATTATTTTGTGTGTCAGTGTGAGAGGAAAAATGTTACAAATTATAACATTAAGACACGGTTGACTTTAGGGCTCATTGATTTCAGAGATGTTAAATGTGAAAAAGATGTACACTTAGGAATTGACGAAATACAGGATATAGACCGTGGGTGCCTGCACTTTGCGAAGAAACTGACAAGCCCGGGGAGCCTGTGTCCTTAGTAAAGGCCGCTGGTGCTCTGCTGCAGGGACCTTCTTCATTCTGTAACAAGTCGGGGACACGGGGGCTGGTACCCCCCCCCCCCCCCATTTACGGAACTGGAGACTGAGCCTCCGAAAGGCTGAAGTAGGCCACAGGTCATGTAGCTAGGAGGCGGCTGCCCAGGACCTAAATGCCTAAGGCCTGGTTCTTATCCATGGATCTGTGCAAGCCCAGGTCTCCAAAAATCAACAACATTCATCATGAACGCAATTCATGGCAGGCCTTGCCTGTGCCGTTTGAGTACCCCTGCGGGCTGGGGAGTTATTCCCATGGTACCCCTGGGTCCCAGCACTGCGGGGCTAAGGGATTTGGCGAAGGTCCCAGCCCTCAAGTGGTGGAAAAGGGGCTTGAGCCCAGGTGCAGACTTCCCAGCCCAGGCCTCAACCCCTTGGCTTCCTGAGAAAAGTCAGCAACGTTTACGCGTCTGGTGGAGAATGCCATCTCAGCACTCTCAGGTCGGGGCCCCAACTCCGTATGCCACCGCCACCCTGACGGGGTGCTCCCCTCTTAGTGGTGGGGGGAATCCCTGCACCTTGGGGTGAGGGCCAACTTGGGAAACAGATCTGAGTCCTGACTTCAGAACCACCTGGGCCAGACCAAGGGACAGCGAGAGCAGAGGAGAGGGGGGAGGGGCGGCTCCTGGGACCGAGTGTGGAGTCCAGCCGAGATCCATCCTCCACAAGCCTGACATCCCCAAGCCCCCACTGCACAGCTGACCTCCAAGCCGAGGCTGTAACAATCCATGGAGTGGACCCCCAGGACACCCTGCAGAGCAGGCAGGCAGAGGCGGTTCCCACTCAGACAAGCTTCCGAGAGAGTGCGGGGTCTGTCCAAGGGGACCGGCTGACCACCTCTCCAAGGCGGTGCTGGAAGCCGAGTTCTGCTTGTAAACCAAGGACACTACCCACAGTCCCACTCCGCTACTCGAACCAACAACCCATGGAGGGCTGGCAGGAGGGACTTGCAGCACGAGGCAGGCGCGGCTGGTCCCTGACATCAAACCCAGGATCTCAGAAACGAGTGACAATCACAGGCTCAAGTTTGTGCTCACGGTGTGCCAGGCGCCGTCACTGTAAGGGCCCAAGATGCACAAACTTAGCTTCAGGCTCCGTGACCCCTTCTACAAATGAAGCGACTGTCCCCCAGGGGGACCGGCACTGAAACTGACGGCTGAGGGGGGTGTGCCCCTCCTACAAAAGCCCGAAAACCCACCCCTCAGCTCCTACCTGCACTCGGAAGAAACAGACACACAGGTGGCCTCGCCTGGCAATAAATATTTTAATTTTTGTTTCATTTTTATGATGACAAATAATTTTCAAGTTTATTTCCTTTTGTTTTTTAAATACAAAGCTAAACCACAAACAGGTACAACCGAGACATTTTACTTCACATTGACACGCTCCGTCGGATCCTCCTCCAATTGGCTGACCACTGACCAGGCAAGTGTGGGGCGGGGGGGAAGACTTTCCTAGGTAGCACCGTCGTGAGGCTGGGGTGCGCGGGGTGGGGGCTGGGGGGCACCAAAGTTGAGGACAGGCTCTCACGCCTGTCTCCATTCACATTTACCGGGGACCAGGGGGTCCGGAGACCCCAGGTGGTGGTTCCAGAGCCAGGCCCCCTGGACCGCAGGTGGAGAGAGTGAGAATCAGTCCCCCTTCGGGAGGGAGGGGGCAGCTACCTACACCTCCTGCCGTCACAATCGTCACAGTCGAGGTGAAAACTGTACCCTTAGCCTTGATCCCTGGGTGCTGCACCTGCTCCCTCCCCTTGGGGTGGGGCCTGCACTCCAGGGCTCGCGGGCTCACCCTTGGTTCACGGCTGCGCGGTCTGCGTGTCGCAGGAAGAACATCGGGTGGTCTGACAAACAGCATGACAGCAGGTCTGGACCTTTCAACCCAGCAGAATCGGGTCAGGGTGGGGGTGAGGGTGGCTATTTGGTGGGGGGAGGATTGGATAAGTAATTTCTGGTCCCACTACAAAACTTTATTTTTTATTAGAATAGAGTACCATCTCAAATCTCTTCTATAAAAAAACAAACAGAAAAACCAAACCCAAAGTAAAAGAAAAAAAAGAAAAAAGAAAAAAACGCAGCCACTCCACTCACTTTATGACCTATGTACATGTAAGTTGTTTTCTGTGGTTTTTCTCTCTTTCTTTTTTTTGCCTTTTGTGTTTTTATGATTTTTATTATTTTTTTTAAAATAAATTCAGTGTTCACATTTCTATAAAGAATTACCCCAGTTTCGGGAGGCGCTGCCCTGGCGGGCTGGCTGAGCAATGCTTTTCCCTGCCCGCGTCTGCTGATTCCCCGCCCTGACGCTGGCCGCACACGCGGCCGCCCGTGGAAGAGTAAACCTCGGCCCGGCCCCTGCCCACGGGCACCGGGTCAGCAAGCTTTCAAGAAAGCAGAGGGGAAGACGAACTTACTGCGAAACCCTTTAAAAAAGATTCATACACTTCCGTGTGCGCCTGTCCAGACGGCAGGACAACAAGAGCTTGGGAGCATCCCGTGGGGGCCGACGGGAGGCAGCGGGCGTCTCCTTGGCCGCCCGTGCTGCTCGTACATCGGGGTGCGTGCTCGGACGTCGGGGTGCGGGGAAGAGTCCGGGCTCCGCAGCCCCCGCGTCCTGGTTCGTGTCCGAAGAATCTCTCCTCTGAAACCTGTGCGGAGCCTGGCTGCATGCAGCGAGCGCGGGAAGCACAAACGTTCGGCTTGTATGCAAAAAAGGTACAAAAACAACTAGAATATAAAAGTTTTGGTAATATAAGGCCATCTGTTCAAGTCCACTGTGGAAACCTGTAACAGATATTTAAATACTACAGTGAAAAGGCATCTTAATATACTTTTTAAAAACATCTGAAGTAATCTGCTAATATTAAGTGTGTGTAGAAAAAAAAAAAAAATCAATTCCCTTTGAGGGCACTTTGTCCACTGGAGGGGGGAGGCGGGCGGTTAATGCTTCAGCCAGGGGTAGGCCTCGATGGAGGCCCTGCTGCGGTCCCCGTAGTCGTACAGGAGCTCCTCCCCCGCCTCGATGTCGCGGGAGGCGATGAGGATGAGGTGAGGCACGCCGTCGATGTCGTGCAGTTTGGTTTGGCAGTTCCCACATTTACTGTGATTGATCAGTCTTCCCAGGCGATTTGTCTCCCTAGTTGCATCCACGCTGGCGGGGAGGGAGGGCAACAGAGGATGATTAGGTTGATAAAGAGGCTTTTGAACGCAGCCAGAGTCACACGTGCTCTCAACTCTGGTAGGATGTCAATTTATGGCCATGCCTTTTGGGAAAACAATTTAACTAAAAAAAAATCTTAAGTGCCTAGAGAGGCACCGGGTGGGGTGTCCCAGGCAGTGGGTGGGCGGAGACAGGAACGCAAAGGGCTCTTTGTGGAGGCTCGGGAGGCAACTGTAGAGCTCGGCACAATCAAGAAATGAATACAAGTCAGTGGTGCTGGGAATGACGGAGGCCGTGCGTGTGCGTGGGGGGGGCGGGAGTATGGGAACTCTCTGTACCTTCCACTCAGTTTTGCTGGTCCCTAAACCTGCTCTAAAAAAACAGTCTATTAAGAAACAACCCACAACAAAAAGCAATCCACTGCACGGGCCGTCTGGAGGGCGGAGCAGCCAGCCATTTCCAGAGCTGCCCTGGCCAATGCCCTGCGAGGAGGAGGCAGGTGAGCCTCGGAGCAGTGTTCGCGTGGCCAGTCCACGTCTGCACCCCGAGTTGGAAGATGGGAAGGGGGTGGGGGAGAGCGGCTTCAGAGCTTTGAGAAAAGGCAAGAACTCAGCAGGAAGCCAGCGCCACAGAACCAGGTGTTCCTGGCCTTGGCCGCGCGGCCCATCCTCTCTGCCATGCGCAGCACTCATGGACTTACCAGTAGGTTTTGCTCAAATACTGGAAATAGTACATGTAGCAGCCGGTGGAGGGGTCTTGTGCATACAGAGCCTCCCGCTTCTTGGCGTCGGTGATCTCGATGAGGTCCCCGTGGTATTCCACCACGAAATCGCCCCGAGAGAACTGCTTGGTGGCGATCACGCCCCTGCCTTTGCCATCAATGAGGTCAATCTGTTGGGTGATGACAGAGAGGGTTAGTTCGTAACAGCCAGAGGTGCCACGGTGCGAGGCCGGCTCAGGAGGCCTGGGGGTTGTACCTTCATCGGAACAGCTTTCTTGAGGTATGCCTCGGAGTTTAGTTCAATGTATATTAAGATGTACACCGGGGTGCAACTATCACCACGAGCCATCACCCAGAAGGTTCCCTTGTGCCCATTTGCAAAGCCGTGTCACCTGTCTCCTGAGAAATCTGCTAGGTGGGCGTTGCCCCATTTTGCGGGTGAGAAAACTGAGGCTCAGAGGGGGCAGACCCACGTCCGAGGCCATGTGGCTAGGAAGTGGTGTAGCACGGACTCAAGTCCACGCAGCTGGCCTCTTCGGGGAGCAGGAGGACCCAGGATTCTGAGTCTCTCCTTTAGGGCCCCAACTTCAGTCCAGATCTCCCTAGCACAGGGGTGGGCAAACTTTTTGACTCGAGGGGCACAATGGGTTCTTAAACTGGACCGGAGGGCCGGAACAAAAGCATGGATGGAGTGTTTGTGTGAACTAATATAAATTCAAAGTAAACATCATTACATAAAAGGGTACGGTCTTTTTTTTTTTTAGTTTTATTCATTTCAAACAGGCCGGATCCGGCCCGCGGGCCGTAGTTTGCCCATGGCTGCCCTAGATGGTGGGTGGAGACTACAGCTTTCAGCCCCTGAATCCCAGCCCAGACCTGTCTGGCTACCAGAGTTCCTCTCCTCTCATCCACCCAAATGTGTTTAAAAT